CAAGGAACCTAAGAATCGATTCGACACCAATCCAAAGCATAAGATGTTATAAACCCAAACCAGGCAGACAAAATCACATGCTAAAGAAATGTTCAGATTAAATAGCCGAATGTCAGGTTGTAATCCTCCGAGAAGTTGAAACTTATTTTCTTACATGTATTTTAGAAAAGGAAATCAATTGCATACTTTAGTAATAGAAAATGCCAAAAAATATATGTATCCGTGTGATCGTTTTTGGTGCTATGATCCGTCAAATATACCAATTTAACATACTATGTGTTTTTTGTTTTTATTTGACTATATACAGAAAGAGTCATACATATTCGAAGTGTATTATCAGAAATCTATGAATGTTTGCACATTTGATGAAAATAGTATTTACTTGAAATAATTGATGTGAAATATTGAGGTTAGCGTGCTTTTTAAAAAATATATTTTGGTGTGTTATTTGTCACTTTTGCGTGATCATAAGTCAAAAGTACTTCAGTGAACTAAATAAATAATAAAATACCACTATTGTATTATTTTCCACTTTGTTGCATATTATTTTCATAATATGTTTTAACATGTTAATCTAGTACAAACAAAAATAAAAAATTCTAGTTAAAAATGATGATACAATGACACTTTTAGTAATATATCTGATGTCAAAATAGATAAACTTTCAACATTCCATAGAATGCACATATTTCGGGACATTCAAATGACTGCCGAATTGGTCATTTCTTAAATTGAAAATAAATGTTCTGAAAAAAATAGGCATTTAGTTTTTGAAACACTTTCAGATGCATGTCCGCTTTAAAATTGATCATAATTTGTTAAATTTTATAAAAAAAAAAACACAACACATTACACAATCAAAATGAGAACGTGACTTAAACCTCAGCAGAGTACATCCTAAGTTTTATAAGGCCCGAATGATGACGTCACATCCATGCGTTGGTTTCAGACTGACCCCGGTACGTATAACCAGATAATCCCTACCAGTATGTATAAGATCCAACCCAGTGTAAAGCCGGAGATATAATAACTGCTAGCAAATCACAACCCCGAACATATAGCTATTATAACCCAAACTCCAGGAACCTTATGTTATACACAACCACCAGTGAGTACTGAAAACAGTCAAAATGTAACCAGCGGCAGAGAAGCTTAAAATGACGTCGACGATACATGGATACTTAGGCCTTGTGGACAGTGGCTTTGTACGCGAACTCCTAATCTGAAACAGATTAGCCAGGATAATTTTTGAATGTTAGCCATTTGCTACTCAAAGTAATTATGTTGATTTAACCTGCGTATGACATCAAGAGCAATGCACTCTCTTTTGTTATATATAAATATCAGGTTAACACCACGTAAAGTAAGTACCAACCCAGACAGCTGGCCTTTAGTATATGATGCCCACACAAATTGTTAGAAATTCTGTTCAATTCAAATAGAGCAAATTCTGTGTTACATATCTAATTATAAACACAGCGTATCATTAACGCTAGTGTATGTTGATCTAGAGGTTTCAGATAATAACTAACTGTCGTAATTGTAAATATACAGTCCCGTGACTGTAGCATCTATGATAAAATGTAAGCAACATAAACTTATCATGGCATCATTTTTCCATCTTCTTCTCTTAAGAATAAAGGGATTACTTTAGTATATTCCACAAATCAAGGAAGATATTAAAATATGCTATTAGAAAATCAAGAGATTTGATTTAAACATATTTTATTATACAGACCATTACTAACTCCATTTAACTACTGACACGTGTAACGGTAAGGCAGATTTGATTATGTGTGCAGTAGCGGATGAGGGTGTGACAATTGGTTGAGTTGTGGGGAGTATATACGGTTTTGGGTGTGGATGTGAGCAAGGGTATATGGTTGCATGTGTGGGTGTTTGTATCGGTATTGGTGCGAAGGTTAATATTGGTATGAATTTGGTTGGGTGTGGGTGTGGGGTTTGAGTGAGGTTGAATGTGGGTACCGGCGTGGGTGTGGGGTTTAAGTGAGGTTGAAGATAGGTACCGGCGTGGGTGTGGGGTTTGAGTGAGGTTCTAGGTGGGTACCGGCGTGGGTGTGGGTTTGAGTGAGGTTGAAGGTTGGTTCCGGCATGGGTGTGGGGTTTGAGTGAGGTTGAAGGTGGGTACCGGCGTGGGTGTGGGGTTTGAGTGAGGTTCTAGGTGGGTACCGGCGTGGGTGTGGGTTTGAGTGAGGTTGAAGGTGGGTACCGGCGTGGGTGTGGGTTTGAGTGAGATTGAAGGTGGGTTCCGGCATGGGTGTGGGGTTTGAGTGAGGTTCTAGGTGGGTACCGGCGTGGGTGTGGGGTTTGAGTGAGGTTCTAGGTGGGTACTGGCGTGGGTGTGGGACCCCCGACAAGACGTCGTGACTGCAGGTGTTTCTTCTTTTGAATCTTTATGTTACGAATGACGTTCTGTCTGACTGTGTATCGTCACTTATAGGGCTATACTAGTGTACGAAGTAAAATATCAAGATTGATTGCTATCAATAATACCGTATATTTCTTACTATAAATGTGACGAAGAATAAATACACATTTTTACATGACCATGAGAAAAACTCCAGATGCGTTTTGAGTAGTATACTGTCATACACGCAGCGCTTCCTTTACTGTAGTGTGTGAGTACTACGGACCAATAAGCGTTTCCAAGCCCTGAAAGAGCATTATCTTTGTCATTGTTCTTTATTTCTGATTGTGTTAACCCGTTATATCAGATCCCGGCTACACATACCTTTACAATTCGTCTGACCGTTGTTAACACTTGGATCTGCTATACTGAGAAACAATGAATATCAACACCAAACGTTAGTTGCATGGTCCCAAATTTCAGGTCGGCCAAGTTCTCTAATCTCTTTTGTAGTTGGCAGATACGTTGCTACTTAAGTTTTGCATATCAAAGTCGCTTTAGCAAGTGATTTTAATAAGTTGATCGCAGCTTTGGTAGTCTAGTGTACTACACATGTGGGCTGAGTACGGACAGCAGGTACGTTAGTAACACCGCCGCCACTGTACCGTCCGGGATACAACAATGACCACCCTACCACCCATATTCAGTCACAGGTTAGTAGCATTTAGTTCTAATGGCATACGAGGAAACGACGGCCAAAATCTAGTTATTGTACTTTTCCCAAAAAATAATTGGAAAAACAAGTTTTTATACAGCCAAACAACACCAATTGATGAATGTCTAATTCGACAATGGAGCAAACATTTTACTCATGAACAGAAAATATCTGAGTTTTCAACAAACTTCCATAGATCAAATGCCGTTTTGTATATGGCTATAGGTCTTATTGTCACTATAATACCCTATCCTAATGTTTGTTTTACTTTGATCTTACTTGCACATGCGTATTGTAATTATTTATGGTACTTCACATTACGAGAGTAAGAAAGGATTTCAGAAATCTGATACGGAAATATGCATTTACTTATTTATCAAAATATTACTACGACCATTCACTATGCATTCATTTTATTTAATTTTCATGCAGGAACTGTTCTATGGTTATCCTAGATCATATCACTTTTTCCAAATCATGATGATAAATTCCACAGATGAATCAAACTGTTATGTTTTATCATCAATTGTCTTTTAACTGAACGTTGAATCACCTACTTCATAAGATTGTAATGTTGTCTACAATAAACATTATTTTTGTATTGAGCCAAATAGAGTGACGTGCTATCCTAATACTGTGTGTGTTTGATATACTCGGGAACCACGTTACCCGATGCTTCCGTACAGCAATGCTTTATTTCGTCCATACAGGCCACAGTTCTACATTATGTATCTATTTGTCACTATCTGGTAATGTTCTTAAACACCTGTAGCTGTAGTCCAAACATTCACGCTTAATTATCAATCATTACCTTTTGGTTGTTTTGGACTCGAAGAAAAGGAAAGACAGCTTATATAACGGGAATATTTATTGTTTTTAGATAATAAGTTGGTGTGTATAACTGAGAGTCGGACAGCAGCTGTGTAAGAAACGCCTGGCATTACGCGTACGGATGTCACTATCGTATATTTCTTAGTGGTATCTAAGTTTAATCTCTGAAACCAATAACATTTTCTGGTTTATCGAAGTTATATAACTTTCCATTCTAAACCTATAAAAGAATTGATTTGTATATCTATATTAAACCACTTTTTGTTCATTAACGTTGTTATAGTATTGTGGATTCATTCAGACAGTATACTAGTATTATGTAGAGAAATCAATTCACACTATAAATATATTAACACAATGTATAAGAGATAGATAAACAGAAGCGGGATTTTTACCCGTCGCCATGCCGTAGATAATGGGATTTGGTTTGGCGAACAGGTAATTATTGGTATGTACAATCAATTACCCCTGACAGTAGACAGGTATACAAATAACTGGCCAGCGTTGTCTCAAGAAGTCTATATATCTTAAAATCAATTAAAGTCCATAGGGGCTATACACATAGACGGGATCTCTAACACCTCCACCTACTAAATCCCAACACTCCCCAGACGAGCAACTTCTCAGCACCGTTTAATTCCATAAGAACTTGCGTCTGGTATATTTGGTAAAGGACCACAGCCAATTTAATAGATTAAACTCTTAATGAAAAGAACGAATGTTTTGCGCCACTCTTATTCTAAATACACATGAAAACTAAACTCTACACAGTGTTTAGTCTACAATGACGAAAAGTCGAATGCAATTTAAGTTGATAAAGATTGGCCTATATACACCTAAGAGAGATATCCGAGTAGGCAGCGTTCTATTACTGTTTCTATAGGTAGATTTCGATCGTAAACTATCACTTTAGTCTTTAAATTGCTCCTTTTTATTCATTACCGGTAATGACCTTACATTGACATATGGATATTGAAAAGAGCTACCCAAGTCTGGGACGGATAATCCCCAGTTAAATCAAATACTTTCCATTTCAAATTCCTTACCTACCCTTTCCGCGCTAAATGGGCTGATCTGTTTACACTCTTCACAACTTGTATTGAGACGTTTATAATCGCTCGATTGGGAATTTGTATAGCGGTTGTCAATTTTAAGTTTTCCACTACCTACCTGACTACTACTCATGACACACAAGTCAAGATAAAGGGAGAGTACTTGCTGTTTCCATGGTGACTGTCACTAGTGCGGAGAAACAAGTATAACATTTATTTATTTGAGTGTTCATATTGATTCCTATCAATACAAACAGATATCGTTCGAATAACACCGTCATTTGACGGAGATAACTGACAGGAGTGACTATGCCGGGTTCTAGGTCTGGGTCCCGGTTGGAGGACTATACTGTGTATGGACCAGGACACAGCGGGGGCTATGATGTGTAAGTCGGTACTACTGTCCTATATTAAACACACTTTATTGTGATTTATAGGGGTATACTACACGCGCTCCTTCCAAGGTACACAGCTATAAAGGTTTGCCTTTCATCGTTTCTTTATTAAGATTATCTGGTATATTAATGAAAGTTTACCTTGATATGTATTTCAATTGAACGTGATATTTATCTATACAATCCATGAAAAAACATATATACCTTGTACATAACTTACGTTATTAAGTATAGTTATTCAGTAAACCTCTGATATCTAAGACATTCTCCTATAATGTCATATTTATTGGTATTAGAGAGCATTGTCTTGTGATATGTTTTGTATTCATATAAGATATCATTATCTTGTGATTACGATGCTATTTATATTGTTACAACATGACATTATTTTGGGATATTATTTGAATCGGTATTAAATGACATTCCTTTTCGATATGTTTTGTATTGGTATTATATTATATAATAATAATAGTAACTGCTGTAAGTTTACAATGCTTTACGACAGTAGTGTTGAAGAAAGCCCTAGTTGAGAAAGTTGTCCTATATATAGCGTACAACATGTCCTTTCTGCGGAACTATTTGATATGTAACATTTTCGGTTTTCTATATACGTTCATTGATAAAAGTACATCTACATGTAGACATAGAAACTTGATACGACGTGCTAATAGGTAACACGTTAACAACCACGTACTAGATAACTGTTACGATAGGTATAATCACGGAATGGCTCACCATTATGTTCTGACAGCCATTGTCAGTTTATTTACTTCATGCATACATAATACATTACTTTACGTCTTTTCACCCAGAGACAGCTCTTCGATCACCCGGGGTTATTTAAAGTTTCATATATTGTATATATTATTGCTTTCCCTGCTTAATCTTGTGTAAACATGAGCTGTATTAGTGTTTGGTCTTTAACACATATGTTTAGCTGTTATTTAACACATGTTAATATCATGCGACAGTGTTAAGCTTTATCTACAGTGTAAAGTCACTTTGTATGAGTGTATGGCCACCCTGTATGAGGGTATGGGCACCCTGTATGAGGGTATAGTCACCCTGTCTGAGGGTATGGGCACCCTGTATGAGGGTATTGTCACACTGTCTGAGGGTATGGCCACCCTGTATGAGGGTATGGCCACCCTGTATGAGGGCATAGTCACCCTGTCAGAGGGTATGGCCACCCTTATGAGGGTATGGCCACCCTGTATGGTGTGAGTGTGATGTACTGGGTGTCATATTTTATCCACTTTGATAGTGTATGTGCAGCATATGCAAATTACCTACTCTTACCGTTTATGCGCCATGTACTCTTTCGCAATACCTAGTCTTATTCTTGTACTTTTTTAAGAGTCTCTTTGTAAATCTTCCCTTGGTCTTTTCCTTAGCATTCTGTAATTAATAGGACGCTTATTTAAGTTTTTCAGTTTTGATGAGATGATCATTGCAACTTTGTAACAGTTTATTGCTGGCTGTACCACCTGTGACAAATGCTTCACCTATCTAAACTGAATGACTTGATTATTTATAAAATCCCTATACAAATCTGGCTGATTTATTTTCGAGGTTTTGTTAAAAGATTCTAAATTCATTGCAATCAACAATTATTTGAATAACCTTTATAAACAAATATTATCTTTAGTCTTATAATAGTAAGAATGCATTTTTAAAATTGAAAAAGTTTTATACCACACAGCGGTACCCGTTTCGGACGAGGTAGTAAAGGCCTATATGTAACGAGTAATACCCCTCCTGTAGCATATTTATCACTTGGAGGTGGTAAAGGGCTATAACGGTATATGACAAAAATCCTATTGTAAATTATACTACGTAGAGTTGATAAAAAACACTAGATAATGTTACTCCTGTACATTTTACCACGTGGAGGGGTAAAGGGTTATATAATGTTGCTTCTCTTGTACATTGTACCACGTGGAGGGGTAAAGGATTATATAATGTTAATTCTCTTGTACAAGTTGCCACGTGGAGGGGTAAAGGGTTATATAATGTTAATTCTCTTGTACAAGTTGCCACGTGGAGGGGGAAAAGGGTTATACAATGTTACTTCTCTTGTACAAGTTACCACGTGGAGGGGTAAAGGGTTATATGATGTTAATTCTCTTGTACAAGTTGCCACGTGGAGGGGGTAAAGGGTTATACAATGTTACTTCTCTTGTACAAGTTACCACGTGGAGGGGTAAAGGGTTATATGATGTTAATTCTCTTGTACAAGTTACCACGTGGAGGGGGTAAAGGGTTATATGATGTTAATTCTCTTGTTCAAGTTACCATGTGGAGGGGTTAAGGGTTATATGATGTTAATTCTCTTGTACATTTTATCACGTGGAGGGGTGAAGGGTTATACAATGTTACTTCTCTTGTACAAGTTACCACGCGGAGGGGGTAAAGGGTTATACAATATTAATTCTCTTGTACAAGTTACTACGTGGATGGGGTATATGGTGATGATGTTACTTCTATTTTAAAAGTTACCACGCGGATGGGATTAAGGTTTATATTATGGTACTCATTTTTATTCTGTTACCACGTGAAGAGGATAATGTGTTATATTATGTAAAGACTATTCAATGTTATAATACATGCATACTTACAAGTTACCTATCCATTGGTATATATATATATTGTTAAAACGTGTTACACCAAGACAGATCAGGTTTCCTAGTCGCTACCAGACATAGTACTAACAATATTCCAATATCGAAAAATGAACAGAAAAGACTTTGACATAGGTCATACAACAGGCTCCTGTTTCATTAGGAATGTTCCGAGTTTAACCTATCTATAGTTAGTTTTTATATACATCAGTCCGTTAGGTCGACTACGATAACACCCAGTCTACTACTGGTTATAATTGCGAAGGCACTTAGACTGATATATTGTTACTTAATACATAGGCTACATATGAAATATGGCTGTTGATTTATTGTATTAACGATTTTTGTTAGGACCATATTGTGCAAGTTTTATTAAACACTTCAGATATTATAGTGTGCCGAGAGTAACCTTCAAACTGGAAGAAGACTTAAGGTATGTTTATTGTTAAGTCTAGACACATTTTCTAATTGCTATGTAAATATGGTTATAACCAGGAGGTGGAGACTTACTATCACTGCAATAAAACACCTGCTTTGATCTACCCTTTTGGAAATCACCCAACTGCTGTATATTTCAAATCAATAATATATATTGTCTCTTTTTTTTTTACTTGCAACAAAATTTATCTAACACTTGTAGAACACTAATTTGATTGAATATATAGATTAATCATTTTATATATTTTCTTTAGAAAATGTAATTTAGCAATTTAAACATGGTAAAGGACGTACACTTTCCTTGTGTAGTTCATATTTTAATGACTGTTAGCAGTCAACTGTTTGACAGAAGATATAAATACATTAATTTTAGCTGCGAACATCTTTAATAAAGACTGTAGCGATGCTTGTAGTAGATGCTTGACTGAAGGGGTAAAATGAGTAAATGATATCCCTTATTTAATGGATCGCCCCAGCTACCGAATATTTTCAAGCACAATAGTTTAAAGTCCTCTTTTTTTCAATTACATTACCCTGTATCGCCAAACTCTTTCTAACTAAACGAAAATTCTCTTGGCAAATGATAACAATATATCAAGCGTTTACTGTACAATATATGTGACAGGTAAGATACCTTGCGGGAGGGATGTGTATTTAAAAGCCTGTTCATCAGTTGGTTGTTAGGCATCTCTGCCACAGCTGTAGTGTATCTCTGGCGCATGACATAACCATAGAGTATGGGGATATAATTGTATTGATGTTTTATGCTAAAATAACACGTGAAAGTGTCCACAAACGGCCAAAAATGCTTTCACAATGTGATAAAATGTAAGGACAAAACTATACTACACAACATTGAATATGTATTAATAAGATAACACGTCTATATACCTCTATTTGTTATCCATATTTAATACAATTTAAGATACACGATACTCATGCAAGGTCAAGAAATGTACTGCATATAGTATATACATTGCTTTTATATCTTGTTTCATATCTACATGTATATATTATTATATAATATATCATATAGTTATATAAGGCTTTTATGGTATGCCAAAATGTATTGTTTTAAGTATGACAGTGATGTCCAAACTACTTATACATGATCTAGTTACAAATTTATGTGTAACACACATGGACATTACATAATACAAAATGTATGTGTTTTTGTGTTATATATCTATATATTTTGAAGGATGGTAGATGGAGTAACATGACATTTTGATATATATTGAATTTGAGAATCGGTATGTTATATAGATCTATCAGTATAAATATGACTAATGTAGAACCATTATAAACCATATATACCTATCGATATCAACTGTGTATCGCATTACATTATTATAGTACATTGTTTTTATATCCAAACCGTGATGCTTAGTCTAACTAGCACTGCTGTATAGGTCGGTATCTAGGGGGCTGTTCTGTGATACTAAGGGCAATGGCAATGTAATTGACTTACCTTGGGTTCAATCCAATATATACAGATATTGCTATACAGCCACATACACTCGTGTTACCGTAGAAACGTGGTTTTGATACAGACGACGTGAGTTACTTTTTGCAGAATTTATTTCATCGACAGTGTGGCCTATTGCCATCATACTTAGGTACTATGATCTCCTTACACTACGGTAAATTCAAACCTTATACTGATACTGTCCAGATATAGGAATATCTTTTTTGGTAATATTTTGATATAAGATGGGTATGTTACACTTATCCTTCCGGATCTCAAGGTTTCACCTTATTTTTGGAGGCGCTCATATTTCTTTTTCTATGTTTTGGCGCCTCCTCCGTTCCCGCGGACAAAATGGAAACAGAAACTAGCAATACTTGATTGTTTATTGTTGATATCAATGATCAATACACTGTCAATAATTGATACTCATGTTTATTGACCCTAAGTTGTCTTGTTGATGTTTACTGTCACGTTGCCAGGGCTTTCTGGTCCCATTCGTTCGACGCCTGATAAGCTATATAATGATCTAACGAACAATGTTTTTCTACTCCATCGTTTAAAAAACTCCAATGAAATTTCATATTTCAACTTGCACGTACAGGGATTTAAGATGATTGTTTCAAAACGCACACAAAACCTTTCAGGATATTTTTCTCTGAAATCACGTCTTAAAAATGCATTATATCGCTTGTTAAGCTACAATACCTTGACGAAGTGGGTCCAGTTGTAACAAGTAATGAAATTTTAAGTTTACACTTAATGACTTAATGGTAAGAGCAATACATGAATAACCACATGAATAAGAGGTAGATCAATGGTCGGTGTTTACCCCGATAACATCATCTAACATGAGCAATGAGAAACCCTAACAGCGTTTAAAACTCATTACGATATAGGTAATATGTATCTCAAGATTTTGTTTGTGTTCATAATTATTTTTCTGTGCTTTTAAGTAAAAATATGAACATAATTCACTGTAGGCTTCTGTGGTAACATGTACAGACATAACACATTAAAATAAGCTAACATGACGCTAACTCTTTTTAAAACAGCTACCATTTATATGTAGTCTATACGATCATGACGATGTGAAATAAATGAACGATGTAATACAAATATTGTTTGTGCTGGTTACATGAAATACTAGTTTCAGAAAAAAATTACCTGTTGTAGCAATCGATTGTAACTATTTATTTGTAAAGCGATACACAGGCAATTTTGCCCTTTTGCTGTTCTTTTCCATGTGTATCGGAACAATTAAGACATGGGTGTCATCCTCTTGGTCTAAAAGTACTACTGATGTACGTGTCCTTTATGGACTGAAAGGTTGCATGCATCCTCGGTACTACTCCAGTGGTTACCTGAACGATATCTCTCTTTACTTCTGGATAAAATCATAGCAAATTTTAGGCACACGGCTAGCTATTTGATTGGTCTCAGATAAACAAAAATCCCTGGCCAATCGCCTGGCTGTTACCTGTCCTTTGATGATTTGAGAGAAGCGACATCTGACTTCAAAGCCAGTCAATTTTATTGTTACGTGGCCGACATATTACTTTAATGTACATCAAAAGATAAACTAGTCTGCTCGTCTCATCCACAAGGTAGTACACACCAATCCTTCGAATTTGCTATGACATATTCCAGAGGTACAGGGAGCGAAAGTGAGCGTAACCCCTGAAGGATCGAGGATGGGTTACATGGCACAGTGTAAATTTAATTTGTTTCGCTTCATGCATAATCACTATTTTTACTCAATATATGCTTCTTGTCTTGGCTTTTCTAATGATTCTTTTACCAATGCCAGAAAGCAAGCAGTGTATTTTCGCGCCATTGAGTCTTTGCAGAAATGCACACTGACGTCAACTTTAAGATCTTTTGTAAAATCACTACCATGTAAAAACACCATTCAACACTTAGGTACTATTTAAGCCCTTGAAATTCTATCGGTAAGCAAACATGGGTATTTGAATACAACAATGAATGTACACGTCCTGTCATAACCGAACGGATTAGGCGGAACAGCCTAGAGGTCAACCCATACAATATTGATGCAATTCGATCCATTCAAAGTTGAATGGAGGAGAATGAAATATTTAAACCCAAGAAATGTCGTTGTATTTGCATTGTTTTCATTTTGCATGTAATTTGCTCTCGTGCTGCCATCGTTTTCCGATTGATATGACAATTACCGGTTGTTTTATGTATGCCATGCACATAATCACGGAATGACTGATATACATGTATCTATCAACTTTAATTACGATTCAAATATAATCGACCGTTTTGTCTGCAGACAGGTTATACAAATACGTTATGTATTTAACCGAATACCTTTCGTTAACAGTCACATTTAAATGTTGAAAATATTTATACAAACTCCTGATTGGGTTCGCCATACAACACACAGGTCAGACTGGGATATGAACTTGTTCAGTAGGGGTCGATACATAACTATATTTCCTGTAGTTGCACATTGATTTTGAACGATTCCATTGCTGAGTTAGTGTTTACTAAGGTTAATGTTCATTTTCGGTTTTTTTAAATACTAGATATGTTTGGAGAACTGGTTCCGACTACCTGCTGCTGCTGGGAATGCGTACAGTTCTGCAGTAGTATGTTGATATCAATGTCGATTCTTGGATATTCAGAGATGCTGAGAATGGCTCATGTTGGTGGTTGCCATATCTTGATACATAGAGGCCCATGGTGTATGTTTGATATTCAGAGATGTTGATAATGACTGATGTTGGTATTTGTTATGTATATTGAGGTCGGGTATATATCTTAAATGTTCTGAGGGAATGAGGTTGTTTATATGTTGGCGTTTGTCATGACTCTGTATACTGAAGTCCATGTTATATATTGGATGTCTGTTGGTTGTTTATATGTTGGTGTTTGTCATTATGACGGAGTCCTGTTCCTGTGATGTTGAGTTGAGGTACTACTTGTTGTACGAGTTCCTTGTTGTCATGATGACGGAGTCCTGTTCCTGTGATGTTGAGTTGAGGAACTACTTGTTGTACGAGTACCCTGTTGTCATTATGACGGAGTCGTGTTCCTGTGATGTTGAGTTGAGGGACTACTTGTTGTACGAGTACCTTGTTGTCATTATGACGGAGTCGTGTTCCTGTGATGTTGAGTTGAGGTACTACTTGTTGTAGGAGTACCTTGTTGTCATTATGACGGAGTCCTGTTCCTTTGATGTTGAGTTGAGGTACTACTTGTTGTACGAGTACTTTGTTGTCATTATGATTTGATTTGGTGCTTTCTAATGAATTTAATTTCTGTTTCCTTTCAATGTTTTACTGTTAGGGTGTTTATAGCCATTGATGTTAGCAAGAATCACCTTTGCTCTTAAAATATCGCTTTATGAAATGTAAAACAAGTTTGTTTTACATTAAACTAGCAATTTCATGCTTATGATTCGTACTTAAGTCACATTGGAAGGGAAAAACATAATCAAATTAATTTAAATGTATACAAAGGCCTTTATCTAGTTCCTCATAACCTTTGGCATAAAAATGTCATTACTTTTTAAGTATCTACTAATGAATTTATAGTGACTCTTAAAATATTACAGGAAAATGTTTATGGTCATAAAACGGTACAATTCCAAGGCAACAAGGAAACATGCCTAAATGTAACATTACCTACAGCCTTTACCCTATTGACATAGCGAGGAATACAATGATATTCAGACCTACGTTGATGTCCCTTTGACCGGGATGTTATACGTAATTGTATCGATTAAGGTGATAGTAATTCTCTCGTGCCGAAGCGACCCACCCGTAATGTAACAGAGACCCCTCATAAATATATAAACATGCGGGCGATGATTAGCGTCACCACGTTTGTTTTCGGCAAGTTTATTGTTTAGTAACAGACAGTCAGCTATCTGTGGAAGGGGAGGGAACGATTGTACGCCGCAGCTCATCCATAGAGCAATACTCGAATGCAGCCTATCACGTTACAAGTGATTGTCACCGGAGCGTGGCGCCTAATGTTACATACTACCTAACATGCAGTATTCTGGCAATGACAGGGACTCCGACAGTGTAGAACAGCACACACGACACCCGTGTCACGTGACATTCAACATCTCTAAGATGTCCTACAATCAGCACCACCCCAGGAATACTAGTAATCCTATTATGTACTTTGTTCCGAGTCCAAGGTAGGTCATATAGCATGCTGGCAATAGGTACAGACGGCATTGTTATGGACCGTTATATATGATGGCATGAAGCTGTTAATTGAAGGTGTTTGGGATATCATATGGGATATTGTTATGGTATTTGTGTTTACACACTTATAGACACGATAACATGTAAATTGATTGTGCATTTATACTATTTAAGTTGACCAGAATAGCATATGTCGTGCGCATTTGCACTGAAAAAAAATAAGTATCCATTGATCATAACATCATCAGGTGTCATCTATTCCCCATATCTAACTAACAGGAACATGTAGTGTGACTTGGTTTATTAGACATCCATTGCTGTAGTGTCACAACCATTTAATCAGTATTCTTATCATATATTCTATCTTGTTTTAGTCTCTTCCTTTATGATGGAGTTCAGTTTGTTCCATATGAGAAAATAGCCATCACTATAGAGTATATAGTTTCATATATCGGTTAGTATTTGAACTTCTGGTGATGGTAAATAGCCATCACTAACAGAAGAAATATCTATAGAGTATATATTTTCATATATCGGTTAGTATTTGAACTTCTGGTGATGGTAAATAGCCATCACTAACAGAAGAAATCTCTATAGAGTATATAGTTTCATAAATCTGTTATTATTTGAACTTCTGGTGATGTTAAATAGCCATCACTAACAGAAGAAATCTCTATAGAGTATATAGTTTCATAAATCTGTTATTATTTGAACTTCTGGTGATGGTAAATCAAAGTTGCAGAACACCCTGTTTGTTTGCTTATCACATGTTGATTTCCTTTTTTGATAGATACCCGTCTGATGCTTACGAGGCGGAGTACCTGCCGAGAGATGGCGCTTTGACACCAGGTATGGACCGATACGGGGCGAGGACGCCCAGCAGGGGACGGGAGTCGCCTCTCAGGCGAGCCAATTCCCAGATGTACAGACCAGTGTCAAGGTCGGCGTCTCGACAGGAGTTCGGAACACAGGTATTACATATTGTCACTGTCTTTGATGGAGCGTAACATTAAACAATTAACAGTAATGTTGATTAAGGTCGGATTTCTCTGTCTAAATAGTTTAACAACATCTTCGATTTCTTCAATGTATACATTGCAAACAGAAAGCATTCGACGCATAACACCACGAAAACCTTTATCAATGAATTATCAAGTCGGCGAGACACTCCTATAAGTTGAATTATTTAGGTTCTAATCAGTCTATCATGCCAGGATTCTATTAAAAATAAACGAAATATTTTCACTATTGGAATTTTTAAATACTGTATGAATAGCGCCATAAAGTTATTATGATGTTTTAAATCAATTAATATCTTGAAACAAATGTTTTTAAATATGTATTCACGACAAATTGGCGTTGGCCTTACCCTAGAAAGCGGTCACATGTATATCCTTAAATTGCACACGGAAGGATTTTCTTTGTACTTTTTTTGTATCCTCATTCACCAATAATGTTTTCAAACATAGTGTCCGTTTTGTTTGTCCTGAAAATATACCAAACAATGTACGCACGTGTAGGAATCTACCTTTTGTGTCTCTAAGAGTTTACCACCAGTAGGGTTTAGGTGAACACATAAGTAGGGATTTATTGTGTCACGATGGTTTACGACAATGATGCATTAATTTATGACGTTCTGGAATTGTCAATATATTTTGCTAAGAACTAGTTTGTCTTAAACCTTAACTCAAACTTTATGACATCACTTAACTATCACAGAAACAATTGCTTTTGTGACCCTTTGTAAACAGACCAACCCTCATCTCAATATTATATCTATAAATTATTGTTGTTAAGATTGTAATGTAGAATTACTCGCGGTGTATAATAGACCCCTATGTTAAATTAGACAGTATATGTTAATCCCCTATAAAAGTAAGACAGTTGTAAATATTCCCTGTATGTTTAGAATATTTTTATAACCTAGACAGGAGAGTCAGGAGTATCGATATTATAACCTTATTATAACCAAGACAGTAGAGACAGTTTTATTGTATATTAGAACTAAGTGATAACTGGGGCAGTAGAATGAAACAAACGCGCACACAGAGTGTTTTGGGAATACAATTGATCCTAATTAGATCCATAAATAATGAAGAGGGTGACTGTGAGTTATCGCCATAGCAGCGATGTTTGAGCCTACCTTAGGAATCAATATATGCACTTTTTATGGTAGAGGTATATAGTACAGAATGACACATGCTGTTATTATATATTTAAAACAAATATTAATACAAACGTTCGTGTTACCGTTTCTAAGGTAGTATATATAACATTTACGGAAACAGTTTTTTTTACTTAATAACAATTGTTGTGCCAAAATGATTAAAGACAATAAAATCAATTAGAAAATCATTCATTCAAACTATCAATATATATCCTGACTGAGGCATTCATCTTTTCTTTATGTATTATTGGATTACGTTACAGATACACAGACAGGTATTGCTTTAATCTATGTACAGTATATACATAATGTGCTTCTGTATACTTTGATATTATTATCTAACACTAATAATCTGGTCCAAATATGCCTCTTTCGCCTTGGTGATTGGGATAGGTTATGTTTGCTCCAGCTTTATCAATTACCAATCTTTATAGGTGCTATCACATTATGCGTGTAACGTTCATCTTTATATTTCAACTTATTCATTATATGAAACATATGACTATGTAGATAATAATACGTGTCTATAGTAACATATATCACTGCTTTGTTTACCCCCGACCACCAGTATGATAAACAGTAGACAAGTTGTATATTACTCTGATTGTTGATATGTAAACGATGATGGGGATAATACTAATACCTACTTATCAGGTAACAAAATAACGTAAAACCCACAAAGACAACAGCGTCAACATACACGACCTCGAAGTTCATACCTAGAGACATCAACAGGAATAGAGCAGACACCGAAACAAAAGGAAAAACAGCATTACATCCTTCCTTATTGAATATTCAGATAATAATAATAAATATAATTAATAGCCTTTAACAGCTGCTTCGAATGGGTAACATGAAGTAGTACAAATGAGGACCAAACAATACCTAATTTCTGTGTATATGAAACACTGGTTTAGAACACCTAGTTTCGCCTCCTATCTTTGGCTTTTCATTTTGTTAAGGTGTATGCTCGGTTCCGGTTCGTATCAACTTACATTAGTCAGTTTGTGTTCAAGCTATTTATATTGTCCTCTTATTGCATAATTTGTACCTTTTGATTAGATTTGTTGTAAACTTTTATATCAAAATATTGATCACTCAATAAAGTTGGAACGATATATATGTCAATTCATGCTTCGATAGAATGTATTGTGCGTGTTGCATACGTTTATCATGTGTGATTAATACTTGTTAGGATTACGTGTGTTACGTATTATAATCATAGTAGCAAAGTAAGGGGTAAAAGAAAACCCATGTTTAAAATATTAACAAAAAAAATGTTTGCTAATGGAAAATTATTTTCTATACTTGATATCAGCAATGGGATTATTTGAAACAGGTAATTATTCATCAGTATACCGCTTTAGTATTAGTGATCTTGCACATTTTGCTATGTTATTAAATATCATTTACAAATTGTTTATTTGTCAATTTTTGCATGCCATTTAACGTGAAGATATTGCATTCAAACATTATTCCTGCAATCAATATGCATTTGGTTAGTTTACCAAGCAATTGTCTATTATATAATGCATCTATTCGTTCTATTCTGTAAACGACTTAAAAAAATATGTTTCATTTTATATTTCATAAAAGCATGATATTGACTATAATTGTTTCGCTATGTTTAATCATTCTAATGTAAATATCAGGCCTAAAGACTGTACCATGTGCTAATAGTCTTTTATTCCTCCGCATATATTTCTCTACATTTACTGATACTGATATTTAAAATACGCTGCTGATGTTCTCAGTACAATAATCATGTTTTAAGATGAATATTGATGATTTAGTGCTATACTAATATTTTAAGTACTAAGTGCTAAATACACTAATGAGGTTTGAAGTTAAATACTGAAATTTCAACAACACAACTGATGGATTAATCACGCTACTGATGTTTTAAGCGACCTGGACCCGCATTCATGAAACCGTTCTCATGCTCAAGCATGGATTCTGTGCTAAAGGCGACTTTTTTTAACGAACTGAAATCACGTGATACGATCAATGAGTCCTGTGTAGCCATTTAAAACGATAGTCGGTTTAAAGTCTTCTTAAAATAATGTGATTTGTGATTTTATCACTGGAACAAGATATTGGGCTTGAGCACAGGATCCGAGTTTTTGAGCATGAGAACGGTTTCATGAATACGGGCAAGGTATAGCATAACACTTCTGTGATACGTTGGTATACAGGCGCGCTATGGTCTACTGATGGGAGGCGTCCGGAGTAGACAAGCACGTCGGGTAATCACCTAGCTGTTGGTAAAAGGCTAGAATTTAATTTGTTATGTGGAGAGGCTATATATTCACAGTTTTACAAAATAAAACGGTTTTGTCTTGCTACATGTTTAATGAATGATTGTTCACAGTCATCAATCACACAGTTACTTGATGATTAGCCAATGGGAACAAGCTAGAATCTAATTGGTTAAGTATTGAGGCTATAAATTCACATTTTTGCTAGATGCTGGATTTTGTTATGTCGTGGTACATGCTATATGCATACTGTTATCACTTAAACCAAATACATAGTTTTATTTGATGCTAGATGTTTGTTGAAAGCTTCCCCTTATCAATTTGAATGTCGAGGTAAATTTAATCAATATTATGTCAAATTCAAGTGCAATGTCAACGAAACTATCGTACCATGATGACAATTTCATGCTTGGGGAAAGTCGATCAGTTCAAAATATGCATTCATGTTTAAATATTCTATATTAATGGCGATATGCCAACCTAGCCATAAGTGATCATATCGATATCCAACTGCAGGTAATAAAGGATGCATGCTAATTGAAGAGTTTGCAACCGAGGTCACATCCATGGTAAACTTTTAAGTTCTGTACAGTAATATTTTCTGTGTCGTCAAGGATGATTCAAGTGTGATGTTTTGTATAAGTAAGACAGTTCGCAATGGAATAAAATGAGCTAAATTCACAGAAAATATGTATGTGACAAGCCCATGAATCTTTTGAAGGAATCAAGCTATGTGACTTTTTAATAAATAATGATTGTTTGCGCTAATTATTCTTGAATGACACGAATTAAGTGTACGTTTTGTGTAAAGTACAGCTATGCGCTAAATTGTGATTTGGATCAAAGATAGGCTTTTTTCGTGTAGTGCAATTCAGCGCTTAATGTTTTCGTCCATTCAAAGTAATATTGATTAGTTCTATTAAGGTGAATGATAGATACACGAGAGGAGATTATGCTATATGGTAACTCATGTGCTGATGATCATGTTTTTTTTAAAGCATTTACCCACATGTATGATTCCCTTGTTTTAACGACGCCAACGTGCTCAGCAGTGGTTTCATTATAAACATTATCCAGTTCGGATATATTGTAATTATTGTTGTAATATCTCACAGCTACTCATGTATTTTGTGTTAGGGTTTTCTCTTTTAAAACTCGTGATTATAATAATTTTAAAATTAAGACTTGCATAATCGACATCAAAGTATGCGTTTCTGTATACATTTCAATGATTTCATGCGTTTCTGTATACATTTCAATGATTTCATGCGTTTCTGTATACATTTCAATGATTTCATACGTTTCTGTATACATTTCAATGATTTCATACGTTTCTGTATACATTTCAATGATTTCATACGTTTCTGTATACATTTCAATGATTTCATACGTTTCTGTATACATTTCAATGATTTCATACGTTTCTGTATACATTTCAATGATTTCATACGTTTCTGTATACATTTCAATGATTTCATACGTTTCTGTATACATTTCAATGATTTCATACGTTTCTGTATACATTTCAATGATTTCATACGTTTCTGTGTTACTATTTGTCATGTATTCCTATGAACCTTCAAATGATTGTTCTTGTGAACCTTTTATCGACGGAAGTGTGTATGAAAAAGTCAAACATGTTATTCCTAAAACATATATAACGTATTTTGTCAAGTTCATTGTTTTGAAAGGATGTACACGTCAGCTTTAGAGAATATATAAACATACTTATAAACGATTTTGAGTTGATAAACACAAAAAAAGAATAGACCAGGTATTTTATATACATGAGCAATAGAAAACATTGAAAACTAAGGTGAATTGTAATGGAAGGGTCTGTGTTCATTCACGTTTTGTTCTCACTAGCCTGACCCCCAGCAGGATTATCGAAACAAAGCATACGCCATGTACACCCCCGGGCCATGTCCCCGCCCCCCTCCTATAGAGAGAGGAGCAACGTTTGCGGGCTTTGGAGCAGAAGATATGGATCCCTTCACCAAGCAGTATTACAACAGACTGTGGAAATCTCGCGTTCCTTCTACAAACATGTACGTATCGTGGTTGTGTAGCTGGTGAAGACTTACAGGTTATATAGAGCCTTACTTTGTTTGACTTTTTACAAGCTTACTAAACTCGACTGTAGTTACTTATGAAGGTTCAAATGGTATAAGTTAAAGTAACAATGGGTGTCATGAGTGTTTTTCTAAAATTCAATCACGATATCCTTGTCCTGAGTTGACGTTATTATAAGTTCGCTTTGTACTTTAGTCCACACGCCTATTGATTATGAACGGTTAGCACATTATCGGTGATAGCAACACTCAGTTCTGTGTAACGTCACAAACAATGTCTTTGCACTTTTGAATAGCAAGCCACAGCAGACTGTTTTGTGAGATTAGTGTTGTCCCACGTACATATAAAAAGTACAAAATGTTTTTCATATACATGTATTCTACATGAAATCTTCAATCTTATAAACTACATATGCCAATCTCTAAAACCGTAAGTCCAGTATAATGTTAAATTGTTGCTCTCTTATAGACACTTGTCATCTCTATGTTGCTCTGTCCGAGAGACAGTTGTCATTAGTCACTCTCTCAGAGACATTTGTCACGAGCTGATCTGTCGAAAACATTTGTAACGAATCGTTCTTGCATAAATATTTGTCATCAATTGCTCTTTTAGAGCCATTCACTCAAAGACATTTGTAATTTGTTGCTCCGTCATAGACATTTGTCATTCGTTGCCCCCTTATGGACATTTGTCATTCGTTGCTCCCTCAAAGATATTGTCATTCGTTGTTCCCTCATATATATTTGTCATTCGTTGCTCCCTAATAGACATTTGTCATGCGTTGCTCCCTTATGGACATTTGTCATTCGTTGCTCCCTCCTAGACATTTGTCATTCGTTACTCCCTCATAGACATTTGTCATTCGTTGCTCCCTTATAAACATTAGTCATTCGTTGCCCCTCAAAGGGATTTGTCATTCATTGCTCCCTCAAAGACATTTGTCATTCGTTGCTCCCTCCTAGACATTTGTCATTCGTTACTCCCTCATAGACATTTGTCATTCGTTGCTCCCTTATAGATATTTGCCATTCGTTGCTCCCTCAAATACATTTGTCATTCGTTGCTCCCTCATAGACATTTGTCATTCGTTGCTCCCTCAAAGGTATTTGTCATTCGTTGCTCCCTCAAAGACATTTGTCATTCGTTGCTCCCTCCTAGACATTTGTCATTCGTTGCTCCCTCAAAGGTATTTGTCATTCGTTGCTCCCTCATAGACATTTGTCATTCGTTGCTCCCTCAAAGGTATTTGTCATTCGTTGCTCCCTCATAGACATTTGTCATTCGTTGCTCCCTCAAAGGTATTTGTCATTCGTTGCTCCCTCAAAGACATTTGTCATGCGTTGCTCCCTCAAAGATATTTGTCATTCGTTGCTCCCTCATAGACATTTGTCATTCGTTGATCCCTCAGACATTTGTCATTCGTTGCTCCCTCATAGATATTTGTCATTTGTTGCTCCCTTATAGACATCTGTATGCGTTGCTCTCTCGGTGACACTTGTAATGTGTTGTTCTCTCTCCGATACCTGCCCTTGATCTTTATAGTGTCGCGGTGTTGTAGAAGCTGCAGATCATACTTACTATTTAATTAACTTAAGTCTGATAATGATTTTCCTAAACTTTGAAAATAATGTTTTGATATGGATTAATCTTTGCAGAGAAAGAAAGTTATGTTGTTTTTTTTAAATTTAAAACACCTTTCCTATGGTTTTCTTCTATTAGTATTTCTGTTTGATCCCAAAGACATTTAAGAGCAATTTTTCACCCTATACCATTTAATGAGATAGTGTACCCTTAAATACAGCTAGAACAAATATTAAAGTGTACATTAATATGTATCGAAACTTTCTGTTTGACAGAAACTTAAACAGAATGGGAAGAGCAGGAGGCCGTTGGAGACATGTAGAATCATGCGTAGCTAACACTGGCAGTAATTTAACGTTTATAGAAGGTAGGTTAATTGTACGAGTGTGTATTATTGGGCAGTGCCAGATATACATATAAGTAAACATACCAACGATATAAATGTATCTTTATTAGCTTACAAAACTCGGTAATAAATTGCTAGACAAAACAGATGTCATGAGGAAAATACACACATTTAACGCATATTGTTCAGTAGATATTGAACATAACATGCTTGTTCATTTCATATTATACTTTCATTGAATGTTTTATTTTTCAATATGGTTTATGAACTCATTTAAGGGACCGTCAAACAGGTGGATAACGTGATGACAGACCCCATGACAGTAAGCAATCCCACTATGCTGCCACGGTACGGCCAGTCCAGACCATTAGGGCGAGCTCCCTCACCAAATCGTAAAAATTCAAAGGATACCGCCTTTAATCATAAAGCCAAGAATGGGTTCAAATACTGGTATCAGGAACAAAAACCAATAGACCGTAAGTTTGATTAGACTAGACGTTTTCAAAATGTTTTCCCAAAAAGCACCATTTGTTCTAGTGCACATGTGCATTATTTTCCCCCACAAATACTTCAAAGAGTGACAAATGTACGACTGTCCTTTTTTTTCTCAGATTTCGTTTTTTACACGTTTAAAATAAATCGTGAGTGAGGTAGTTGATGCAACCTAAGTTATAATACAAAAAAAGAGAAATTATATTGAATGATGGCGTAGCCTTTATATATTAGATATTTACAATATTAAAATATTTATTATTAAAAAGGCAATGTTAGCAACCTACGAGATAGACATCAACGGGAAAAGTCTCGCTACGATATAAGTAAAGTCAACAGATATATTAACATAACAAGGTAAATTATATACTGAGGTGCTACGCTTTTTGGTAAAAAAAATAAAGCAGTACATATTAGTTTCTGTCGAATTTGATTAAGTCGGTACACCTCTATCCATACAGAGCTGTGTTAAAGATAGTGCCTTTGTTCCCTGAGAATGATGTTATGTATGCATATATGATTATTATTGGCAGTAAACTATTCTCCTGGAATAGTAAGGGCGTGATGCAAAGTAAAGGTAAAAAGAAAGTGAGACTTTTATAAATCTTTTTATTATTATACAATAAGCTTAATAATCAAAGAACCTATTTACCCTGCCATATGTTCTCTTGATATTCTGCGTAGTATCTGTATAATATCTTTTCACTCGTTATGATCCATCTTTATACTGATGAGAAGACGTTCTGGTGATTGACTTGCATATATATATCGGTGTAAAGGTTCTTCATCTGCTTCTCCTCTGTGAATGTGTACCTCTCATTACAGCCTCGTCTAGAACCTAGGTATTTCTACCATTTTATGCCTTACTCTATACGCACACGTGTCCTTTCTAATACTCCATGTATCCATTTCCAATCCTACTATGTATTTACGTGCCGTTAAGTAAATGAAAATCATGTATAAACATAGTCCGTACTTATCGTTTTGAATATTCGATATCGCTATATGAGTATGTCACTACAGAAAACCCTCGTTATAATGACCCTCGGTCGATCGTTTTCATTTGCCATATTGGTCACGATATAGAGGTTTGTTTTACAGGATATATAGGCTACGATATCGATGTTTGTGTGTATTTAATGAAATCTAGGTCAGTTTGTGTATATATCAGTATATCTAGGCTACGATATTGGGTCACAAAATTGATGTCTTCGTGTTTTACAGGATATCTAGGTCATGGTAATGATGTTTGTGTATATTACAGAAAACCAGATCACGATATTGATGTGTTTGTAAAGCAGAAAATCTAGTTCATGGTACTTAATTTGTGTGTGTATGAAGGTCGTGTGGAGGTCACGATATTGATGTGCTTGTGAATTACTGAAGATCTAGTTCATCATATATTTATTGATATTTGGGTATTATTTACACAATATCTTGTTCGTGAGTATTTCAGAAGATATAGGTCAGGATATTGATGTTGGTGAATATTACAGAAAACAAGGTCACGATGTTGATGTCTGTGTGTATTACGGAAGATCTAGGTTATGGTATTAATGTCTTTGTGTAAAGCAGCAGATCTAGTTCCCGATATTGCTGTCTGTGTGTATTACAGAAGATCTAGGTCACGATATTGATGTGTGTTTGTATTACAGAATATATATGTTAAGATATTGATGTCTGTGTGTACTACAGGAGACATTGGTTATGAGATGATATTGCTGTCTGTGTGTATTAAAGGAGATCTAGGTCACGATATTGATGTGTGTTTGTATTACAGAATATATAGGTTAAGATATTGATGTCTGTGTGTACTACAGGAGACATTGGTTATGATATGATATTGCTGTCTGTGTGTATTAAAGGAGATCTAGGTCACGATATTGATGTACGTGTGTATTACAGAAGATCTAGGTCAAGATATTGATGTCTTTGTATACTACAGACGATCGAGGTTACGATATTGATTATGTGTGTATTACAGGAAATCTAGGTCGAGATCATGATGAAACGTTGTGGGACAGTTTAGTCCGCTCCAAACAAAAATCGGTAACTGTGTTTCATTTTTGTAGATTTGTATCTGGGAGTAGGGTTTACCAGACTGTTTCGTGTAATAATCAAGTGTCTTATTAATTATGTTGAAACAGAGTAAATAGAGAGTGTTTATTATTTTGGTATTACTGGTATACTGTTTTCGTTGTTGCCATTATTACAAGTATTGTCGTAAAACATGTCATTTTCGTGTGGTTGTTTACAGATTCCATATAGTCCATGTAATACATTTTAATCATAACGCCATTAATACGCGCTAACATTACGTGATACAAACATTGGTGATGGGTCGCTTTGTCTTCGTTTACGTCTTCCACGAGTGAACTATTCTCTGTCTGTACTGATATCACCAAGTAATATTTTATTGGTAGCTAAGACTCTAAAGCATTGTCATTGGTTACAACTGATTATGACATCCATATAGCAGTTCATTTTCATGGATATACAACATCTTCTGTGCCTTTATCATGTTGACACAATGCATTATACCCTGAGGAATCATTAATATTTCTCCAGAAATATCAATTCACAATAATTCACGAGAACAGTTGTTTACAAATTCAAATATCACCCGAATACCAACTCTTTAAATCTTGAGAACTATAGAATTAATATTAGCATCAACTAATGAACAGAGATATATTACCACTTAGGTCAATACTTAATGAGTGTGTTACCTTTCTAATACACACACTATCTATGCATATTTACACCCGTTTTATGCAAATTAACTTTCAGTCGGATTGAGGAAGTCCTTCGGGGCTAGCGGGCGTTGGCTTGGTGTCCCGGGGGAAGCGTTAATCCCCGCCCCTACTTGGGTGTGATACTCACAAGTATATCCTATATTTTAAGCCGTATGTGACAAATGTATATTTGATGTGTGCTTATCCTAACCTGCGCCCCACGTGTTTACGCACGCACTGTCGATGTGTGACACATGTATATACTTGAAAAAGTGTGTGATAGTGATATATATATCCATTATTTATGGTTTAATAATGTAAACATAAAAAATGTTGTTTTCACAGGAAGTTTGTTAATTTCATAGCATGACCGAGAAGCAAGCATGTATGTAACTGAATGTATAATGTTACTGAATGTTATTGAAAATACTGAATGAATAATGCTACCGAGTGTTATTGTATGTAAAATGATACTGAATGTTACTAAAGGTATAATGATACTGAATGTTACTGAAGGTATAATGTTACTGAATGTTACTGAAGGTATAATGATACTGAATGTTACTGAAGGTATAATGATACTGAATGTTACTGAAGGTATAATGATACTGAATGTTACTGAAGGTATAATGATACTGAATGTTAATGAAGGTATAATGATACTGAATGTTAATGAAGGTATAATGATACTGAATGTTAATGAAGGTATAATGATACTGAATGTTACTGAAGGTAATTGTATAACTAAGTGTTACTGATTGTATGGTGTTACTAAATGGCATTGTGATGTTGCAAATAATAATGGAGAGTGCTCTTTATGTTTAATAAAGCCTTATAAGGAATGTTTCAGTCATCAGTCTAATCCTTATAAGGAATGTTTCAGCCATCAGTCTAATTACGTTTGGTAATCATTGCAATATACATGTACATTACATAACTGTAATTGCCCCTGACATTTACTTGACACATGTACATTGATATATCGGTTTAATTTCTTTTTAATATGTAGTTATAATTTCCCTCTGGTTAGTGTTTTAACGATATCAATCAAAACGAATAACAATGTAAATTAATGGTTTTGCTAACAGAAAATGTATAACTATATTAAAACATCACATTTAAGGGCAAACAATGGTTATAGTAGCATGCTACTTTGATTTTGCATGTCACGAGATAATATTAAACGTGTATTGGTTGGATTCTTTTCACGAATGCAGATTTTCATGTCATCTTGTTCTAGTGTTTGATACTAATGAACTTGTATAGCTTAGATAGTATCCTTGTCCGTGACATATTTCTTTATTAGAAGTTCAGATGACGTTTATATGCAAGAATTTAACATATGAACATTTACACGTTATTATATCATCAATAAAATAGCTTTTATAATAGCTGAGCGTGATCAGATCAGATATACAAAATATGTGTTTCATCACAATGAGATTTTAATGTTTAAAGATAATAATATGCAACAGTTCACCTCTTGCTTCAAAGAAAAGAAATCAGGGAAAATATAATTTAAATACTGCTGTATTGTGATTTGAATGAAAGGTTTAAAGCGTGTTATTTTGGTTTGTTTCAGTGGCATCCCGTTTTCGCCTGAAAGCCAGACAGGTGGGGCTTGGCTATTAACATGTTGACCTGTATTGGGGTCTCTGGTCTGTGGACAGGTGACTAAGGTACCGAGATGTTAGCGTCTGTGATAGTGTGACATGGGCTGAATTTCATTGTGCTGACGGATACACAAACGAGGCATACGATCTATATACATATGGTGCGACACCATTAGAGCGTACATGTGTAAAACTCTCCATTCAACATTGATCGGTGTTATTTATTTGAATCGAATAGTTATCTATAGATAAAGTTGGTTTACAGTCTATTCAGCTAATTTTCATATGTGTTATTCTGTTCTAAGTTGGAATCCTATTTAAGTAAATGTACGCTGCCTAGCCGCTGTATACAAAAGTAAAAGTAATGTCTATTGCAAACTAGTACCCTCTAAGACACTGTTCGATTTTTGTTGTTAAAGAGGAACGACATATTTCCTCTTTGTTTTACTACGTGATTTTAGACTGAGCGGTAAATGTGATATAATTTATCACCATTGTAGAATACTTGTGAGTGAATAAATTCATGTCGTTGTCAGAATTTACCTTCAAGCATAACATCAAAATACAGTTAGAAATATCTGAAAATGTGTTTTACCGTAAGGTAGACAACTCTAGATTTGAACACGCAATACTGTTTATCCAAATGCTGAAGTCGTATTAACAAGTCCGTCCTATTGGTTTAAAACCAAAAGCTACAGAAAGCTTTCGTGTATGTCATGTACATTGTATTGCTTAATTTGTTACTCTATTGTACATTATTTTATTGATGTTGAGACTTAGTCAAGGAAGTACCATGTTGTAATTTATTGGATATCTAACGCAAATATTTGAAATGCAATTAAAATATTTTCACATCAATATTTCTTTGGTTTTGGTTAATTTGGAACTCGGCTGATGTCTGCTAACCAGTATTGAGATACCACACGATGTAGCAGGATACAGCACTGTAAAATGTGTACCATATTGTCAATAAAAAGGACAAATATTAAACGTATAAACACTTTAATAACATTGCATTTATATAAACCAACCGCACACAAATGAGCATTATAGCATTGTAAATGCCATGGGTGATTGTTAACGACATCATCATTGAAGTCATAATCACAACTTTGAATACCAATAGTAATTTAATATTATATCCGAATTTGAAGAATAATGGTTTCTATATTAACAGTACTCAGCATGTTAAAATAATTATTACACTGTTGTCTAATGACAAGTATTGATGAGATTAATGAAAAACAGGTTTCAGTTAATTAAACATCAGTTTTTACTGTAATACATTTCATGTTTATGTGGCCTATAACCCTTAGTTTATTACAAAAAAAAGCAGTCAATATTCAAATGTGTAAGGAAAGTGGGCGATGATTTGAGAATAATTAGGGACTTAGTCAACATTTAAATAAATAAAAAAAAAACTGGCAGTCATCGGATGCTTATTCCTTGGAATGTGATAGTGTTTAAAAATATTTTTAAAAAACTAGTAAATAAAAATCAAATTTTGCAAATCCTAGAAAATTAGAATCAAATTGTGTAAACTTGTTCATATCGATCAAAGCTACACATGAATCGGAGGAATATGAAGCATTACCAACATTTAAACACAGTGTATATAGGAATTAATAGAAGCTGGAGCCGTTCAAAAGTCAACATATACTCATATTGGGCGGGGTTCAGAGCATAACATCGTTCCATTTAAAACACCAATGTATTACCAGAAAGATATTCTTCAATCTATATATATGTATGTGTTCAGTCTTTCTAAATGACAGGTATATCTTTTAGCAACTCCTTGTAAGTTAGTAGACATGTCAACATATGAGAAAACATTGGTTATCTGCATTGCTTAAAGCAAAAATGCAGCTCTTAACAATTGGGGAGAAACTGTAAAGTATGTCTCGCCTATGCCCCGCTTTGACCATCAATGCTCATATCAAAGAAACTAACTTAAATGCAAAAACTTAATGTTGATGGAGATGCTGACAAAATTGATGGACCATAAAAGGTAGGCCGCATCCAGCATTTGATGCATGGGCTGAGTTGTACTACCTAAGATGCATCTATGGTCCAAGTGTGGTTGGGGTAATACTTTCAGAGAAACTAACTAAAACACAAAAACTATTGTTGATGGAGATGCTGACAAAGTCAATGGACCATAACAGGTAGGCCGCATCCAGCTTTTGATGCATGGGCTGAGTTGTACTACCTAAGATGCATCTATGGTCCAAGTTTGGATGGTGTAGCACTTATGCTTTCAGAGAAACTAACTTAAACCAAGCTGCAATTATTATGTATATATGTATATAATGATTGAATAGAATTGATTCATATCAAAGCATGACTGTTGTTCGTTGGTCTATTTAGAATTATATATAACGGTGTAAAAAAATACAATATTTGCATCCACATTATGTCATATGTTTAATTAATCTATCACAGTTAATGATGGAGCAACTGTGGTTGGTTTTTTTTCTACTGAATTCCAACAATCTAGTGGTGTCTCAGAAAAATAGATTAAATGAAAGTACAGGGGACTGGGATATATAGTATGTGTACAGTGTGTGTGTACATTACAGCCGTGTATAGTACATGTGTCAGCAGTTCTTCACAACGAGGGACGTTTGTATACGCTAATATCGATTACACAGCAAAATACCTCACGTGATCACGTGAGGATTTAGTATCAATATACCTACGTAAGCAAAATTCAATCGGGATACCCTTCCAGTTTCATAATAATCTAACGAAAACAACAGGTAATCTCGAAAATCAAGCAAGCTATGCAAAATTCATGACCAACGAAAATGCGTGTTATTTTTGGAAGGTGACGTATATGGTGACAATCACCAGGGTATATAAACGGTGCAAACAGGCCAAATAGGCGGAGCCCAGTCATCGTCTCAAGATGGTTGACTGGAAGTGGATTCTGTCCAAGGTGCAAATCAACCCACCTTAGTGTCAAACGCTTACTTCGTAACCTCCAGGTTTTCATACCTGGGGTACCGTTCCCGGTTTTTGGGCCCATGCCGTAGCGACCCCGCCGTCCCTGTGTACAGGGCTATGGGGTAGGTGTGGACACCCAGAGACCACACGAGCTAACCTACTGCGTCACTGGTCTTATAAACAGGATACAGGGGCTGGTTGGTGTGGTCTTGGGATCAACGTCGTGATGTAATCGGGTAGGAAGGTGAGTGCAATTTAGATTTAATCTGACAGTCGTTTGAAGTTATGTCAACGTAGTTTATTGTTTCTGGCTATCTCGGATTGTTATTTTGATATTTTTGACTTCTCGTGATCACAGGCACTGGCCACAGGGACCTGATAATTGGTTACAGCTATATATATATTTGGACCTAAACTAAGGTATTTAGATTAATTTTAAACGTTTGGGGGATTTAGGTAGATTTTCGGTAAAAGTGCCACCCACGATGATCAGGGGGTGGCATTTTTACCGAAAATCGATCTAACCCCCCCCCCCCCCAAACGTGTAGATTTACTCTAAACACCTTAGTTTAGGTCCAAATATAGTTGTAACAAATTATCAGGTCCCTGTGACCTGGCAACTTGAAATGATATGACTCGAATACAGTTGATTTCTTGACGATATACTTGATTTATTCCAATGCCTTTCGGTTTACTTTTCATGTTTTCTCTAGTTTATATATACTGACCAGCATCGTGAATTGGTCTTGTGATCTTGTAAGATTGTTTGTCTTTGTGTGTTGACGTTATGGTGTAGGCCTGTTTTCTTCTAGTTAAAAGAAAAGTGAAGTTGAAGTTCGAATCCATTACAGGAACCGATGAAGCTCTTCAAACATCATTAGACGATTGCATAATTTAAACGTCACCGCCAGAGTTACTTGGGCACTGTAACTATATCTGTTTCATTCTTCAATAAATCTCATCTGTTCTCCATCACAGTTGTTGATGTTTGGTAATATTGTTATAACTGGTTTAAAGGTAGATGAAATCGGATATCAATTTTTCAAGCTGTTTAACCAGATCAATCGGGCAAATCTTGACTGTATTTCTAATTTTGAACGACTGTCCGTTGAAGTCGGGTTACGTTGTAAGCGTTGTCACCAAGGTAGCTGACTTACATCATGTGACGAAATCCATTTCCTGTCAAACATCGTGAGCGGAGAGGACACCATTCGGAGCACATTATTGAGGACTTTATTAGTAAATAAAGTGTTGCACTGTTGTTTGACTTGTTATTACACAGTATAAGTGTTGTTGATGCAGTTTTAAGCGGCAGATTTACTCAAGAAACTGTCTTCATGCTGTAATATTGTGTAGCAATATGGTTTTTAAATGATAATATAGTAAGACTAATTTTTCAACTCGAGTTCTTCACCTGGTCGAATGGACCGGTGAATGCCAGCTTCTGAGGCGTCCGTCGGTCAACTTTTCCTTAAAACGCCACTAATTCTGATTCGTTCAGTGGATTTTGACTAAATCAGTCCAGGAGCATCCTTATGGAGGATGTGACCCCACTAGGGGCTCGGCCCAATATGGGAAATAGGGTGAACATTAAAAAAAAACCACTTCAGTACGCGGGAGGGATTTAGATTTATCATATTGATAAATGTTTGAAATCCTTCTCCTTTCGTACGATTAATAAAATTTTCTTTTAAACGAAGAGTGTTCCCTTTATTGGGGCAGAGCCCGACATGAGAGATAAATCCTTAATATGCTTCTTCTTCCGTACGAATGGGCATTTTAATGAAATTTGGTATAAAGCATCCCTTGACAAAATTAAAGGACCCTTTTTTTCATAAACGAAGAGCATTCCCTCAGGGGAATGTTTAAAATCCTTCTTCATGGCTAGTACTTGAGCGAAGTAGAATCAATTCTGTTATGGAGGATTGGAGCAGGGCAAATTGAGGTAAATGTGTAAAAGCCACAAGTACCCCTCTACATGCAACAGGAAGGAACCAAATGAGGGACGGGTGCAGCGGAGAGACGACCAATATTTGGAAATAGTTGTAATACTATGTTAATGAAATCTAGTTGCCATGGCTGCTTAATTATCCAGGTGGGACCTCTTGTTTAAGCAGTTCAGAAATTATCTTGTAGCAAATAAATTTAAGACGGAACCAACAATATTCGTATTAAGATTACGATAGGATAACTTCCAAATTTTTAAAATTCACCATTGAAGCTTGCTAAATAACTTACTTCTATTTTTTTCACACAAAGTTATTAAAAAGTACAGAAATTCTAAAACAAAACATATGTTGAAACATTCCATCAACACCGAAATGCCCACCCCTACTTGACAAAAGAAGGTTGGTAATTCATCCCTACTTGACAATAGATGGTTGGTAATTCATCCCTACTTGACAATAGAAGGTTGGTAATTCATTCCTACTTGACAACAGAAGGTTGGTAATTCACCCCTACTTGACAATGGAAGGTTGGTAATTCACCCCTACTTGACAATGGAAGGTTGGTAATTCACCCCTACTTGACAATGGAAGGTTGGTAATGCATCCCTACTTGACAATAGAAGATTGGTAATTCACCCCTACTTGACGATAGAAAGTTGGTAATTCTTCCCTACTTGACAATAGAAGGTTGGTAATTCCCTCCTACTTGGCAATAGAAGGTTGGTAATTCACCCCTACTTGACAATGGAAGGTTGGTAATGCATCCCTACTTGACAATAGAAGATTGGTAATTCACCCCTACTTGACGATAGAAAGTTGGTAATTCATCCCTACTTGACAATAGAATGTTGGTAATTCACCCCTACTTGACAATAGAAGGCTGGTAATTCACCCCTACTTGACAATAGAAGGCTGGTAATTCACCCCTACTTGACAATAGAAGGCTGGTAATTCACCCCTACTTGACAATAGAAGGCTGGTAATTCACCCCTACTTGACAATAGAAGGCTGGTAATTCACCCCTACTTGACAATAGAAGGTTAGCAATTCACCCCTACTTGACAATAGAATGTTGGTAATTCACCCCTACTTGACAATAGAAGGTTGGCAATTCATCCCTACTTGACAATAAAAGGTTGGTAATTCATCCCTACTTGACAATAGATGGTTGGTAATTCATCCCTACTTGACAATAGAAGGTTCGTAATTCATCCCTACTTGACAATAGAAGGTTCGTAATTCATCCCTACTTGACAATAGAAGGTTCGTAATTCATCCCTACTTGACAATAGAAGGTTGGTTATTCGCCCCTTCTTGACAAAAGAAGGTTGGTAATTCATCCCTACTTGACAATAGAAGGCTGGTAATTCACCCCTACTTGACAATAGAAGGTTGGCAATTCATCCCTACTTGACAATAAAAGGTTGGTAATTCATCCCTACTTGACAATAAAAGGTTGGTAGTTCACCCCTACTTGACAATAGAAGGTTGGTAATTGACCCCTACTTGACAATAGAAGGTTGGTAATTCAACCCTACTTGACAATGGAAGGTTGGTAATGCATCCCTACTTGACAATAGAAGGTTGGTAATTCCCCCCTACTTGACAATAAAAGGTTGGTAAAACCCCCCTACTTGCCAATAGAAGGTTGGTAATTCATCCCTACTTGGCAATAGAAGGTTGGTAATTCACCCCTACTTGACAATATAAGGTTGGTAATTCACCCCTACTCCACAATAGAAGGTTAGCAATTCACCCCTACTTGACAATAGAAGGTTGGGAATTCATCCCTACTTGACAATAGAAGGTTGGTGATTCCCCCCTACTTGACAAAAGAAGGTTGGTAATTCACTCCTACTTGACAATAGAAGGTTGGTAATTCACTCCTACTTGGCAATAGAAGGTTGGTAATTCACTCCTACTTGACAATAGAAGGTTGGTAAAACTCCCCTACTTGCCAATAGAAGGTTGGTAATTCATCCCTACTTGACAATAAAAGGTTGGTAATTCATCCCTACTTGACAATAGATGGTTGGTAATTCATCCCTACTTGACAATAGAAGGTTGGTGATTCCCCCCTACTTGACAAAAGAAGGTTGGTAATTCACCCCTACTTGACAAAAGAAGGTTGGTAATTCATCCCTACTTGACAATAAAAGGTTGGTAGTTCACCCCTACTTGACAATAGAAGATTGGTAATTCATCCCTACTTGACAATAGAAGGCTGGTAATTCACCCCTACTTGACAATAGAAGGCTGGTAATTCACCCCTACTTGACAATAGAAGGTTGGCAATTCATCCCTACTTGACAATAAAAGGTTGGTAATTCATCCCTACTTGACAATAAAAGGTTGGTAGTTCACCCCTACTTGACAATAGAAGATTGGTAATTCATCCCTACTTGACAATAGAAGGTTGGTAATTCACCCCTTCTTGACAATAGAAGGTTGGTAATTCATCCCTACTTGACGATAGAAGGTTGGTAATTCATCCCTACTTGACGATAGAAGGTTGGTAATTCACCCCTACTTGACGATAGAAGGTTGGTAATTCATCCCTACTTGACGATAGAAGGTTGGTAATTCATCCCTACTTGACGATAGAAGGTTGGTAATTCACACCTACTTGACAATAGAAGGTTAGCAATTCACCCCTACTTGACAACAGAATGTTGGTAATTCCCCCCTACTTGACAATAGAAGGTTGGTAATTCCCCCCTACTTGACAATAAAAGGTTGGTAAAACACCCCTACTTGCCAATAGAAGGTTGGTAATTCATCCCTACTTGGCAATAGAAGGTTGGTAATTCACTCCTACTTGGCAATAGAAGGTTGGTAATTCACTCCTACTTGACAATAGAAGGCTGGTAAAACACCCCTACTTGCCAATAGAAGGTTGGTAATTCATCCCTACTTGCCAATAGAAGGTTGGTAATTCACCCCTACTTGGCAATAGAAGATTGGTAATTCACCCCTACTTGACAATAGAAGGTTAGCAATTCACCCCTACTTGACAATAGAAGGTTGGTAATTCACTCCTACTTGACAATAGAAGGTTGGTAAAACACCCCTACTTGCCAATAGAAGGTTGGTAATTCATCCCTACTTGACAATAGAAGGTTGGTTATTCGCCCCTTCTTGACAAAAGAAGGTTGGTAATTCATCCCTACTTGACAATAGAAGGCTGGTAATTCACCCCTACTTGACAATAGAAGGTTGGTAATTCATCCCTACTTGACAATAGAAGGTTCGTAATTCATCCCTACTTGACAATAGAAGGTTGGTAATTCACCCCTACTTGACAACAGAAGGTTGGTAATTCACCCCTACTTGACAATAGTAGGTTGGTATATTTACATACATAAAGCTACTTAATTGCCCTCCCCCAACCAATTCTTTATGGTAAGCTATTACAGTAATTCTTAGTAAATAATACTATAATGTACATGCTATTCTATTTAACTGTATGTATGTTGTACCTAACTTTATTGAGGTTATGTCTATTGTTCAATCTGATTATATCAGCAGTTTGTTTAACAAGAGATCCCAGAGGGATCTTGGCGCCCACCTTTGTACNAAATGGCAATTTTGAAAGAAATTTTAACAGGGAGGGTTGGTTGGTTTCACAGTAGGGGTTGATACTTTTAATGCTGGAAATAGCAAGTCTTAACAGCAATTAGGGTTGTTGAACGTTTTAAAGTCACTAGCTTGCTTCAGCAGCCTCCTCCTCTCTCCAGCACCTTCATTCTTGCGTCTTCAGTTTTACAATCAATTGATTCTTTTTTGAACTACCTTATTCGAATACGTATGATGTACAGATGTAAAAAATAAAAGCAAACACTTTAGTCTCCTTATGTTCAGGACATATTTGATAACTTTTATGACCAGAACATATTTGGTAACTTTTATATAAATGTATTTGAAACAACTATTTTTTTAATTTGTTGACAATTTTTTTTTATTCACATTTTTCTATATCAAAACATACACAATATGTAACATAGACATGTACTCCTGAGTACAAATAGTACTTCCTGAAACGGACTGCTGCATCTTTTATTTGTAATATTTCTAATGAAAAGGTTTTTATGCATGATTTTGAGATGAAATATTACCTCATTTCATTAACTGAAAACATTCTTGACTCTGATACAAGGACCGAATCCAATCCTCATATAATAAAAGAATGAGAAATGAAAGAATGTGATGATTTACTACGAGTTGATGACCAAATGAGGTGCTACTGCTACAACTTATCCATTGTACCTCTACATACACCGACTTCCATACACCATGTCACACATTCCAGGGGAGTAGTACAGACCATCAATTCAGCCTAAGTAAATAGTAAAGGGACACAACTCTGTATCTCGAATACTGGGACACAACTCCATGTTTCAGATACTATTAATCTGATGAATCTCCATCTAGAAAACACCTTGACTTTTTGTTCGAGAAGAACCACCAGGAGTTCTGTAAGCCATGTATATTAGAGTGTAACCAGTCTGCATTCCCCGATGTCTCAATATGTTTTGCGTTAAATTTTGGAACGCATGATAATCTGTTCATAGATCACACTTTCTTCACTTTCCTGTTGCCATTGGATTTCTTAGCACCAATATTACAGAATCTCCTCTCAGGAACATTTTTGAAATGTATCTGTCTTTATTCACTGGTTTTGATTTCTTCTTTCCCTTTCCTGTTTTTGGTACTTCAGTCCACATTTCCTTAACATTTTCCAAGACCATATTGCAATGCCTGTGGGATAGAAAACAAATTATCAATATATACTTTTGATCATACATACATTGGTATCTTCAGTGCTAGCCATTTCAAAAATTGGGATCCAATCAAGCTGAATACAATATAACCTTTGAACTCTAGATTCCCTTAAATTGCATCCTTATTGTATTATGATTCAACTTGATGTCAAGGTTGTGCCTTCACCTAAACTGCTGGTTTATTTTCAAAACTAGTTTTAACAATCATGCATTGGAACTGGACAATTCGAGTCATCCCTTTTTTCCCCCTAAAGAATAAATCGGTGATCTATGCAACTTCTGTGCAATGCATCCAAAATAAGAGAGACTACATGGTATAATGACCAGCTGTATCTCTTAATGATTTTGACAATGATGCTCAAGACCCAACAAAAATTGTCCTATGAAAAACCCCGATGCATAATGCTTAAAGCAAAGTTAAAGCAATGTGGAAGTATGTTTCTAAGAGGTAAACTTATGCATTGCCTTATAAACATTTGATGTAATTAATTCAAAAATAACAAATGAGATAATATTTAAACAAATCAAAAGTTGTACCAGCCTTTAAGAAAATTGTGAGTAGTAACATTTTTGTTGGGTTCGCCTAACTAGTTTGGACAAAGTCAACCATATTAACTTTGACATGGTCTATTTGAATTTTCTCTCTCCTGAACATCACTTCACATATAATGGTACATAAACCAATATATGGCAAGTATCATGTAAATATGATATGGTACACGGACAAAAGCTGTTTGGTCACTTATTGTGATATATGAATCTGATGCAAGAAATAAAATTGTAATAATGTTGCCATGATTGAAATTAATGTTTAGATAAATAACGACGAATATGGAGTAAAACAAAGTTTTTAAGTCAGTGTTGCCTCTTCTTTTTTTTATTAAAACATCCCGAGCCAATATGTCAATGTAACCAGATGGACAGCCAATGCAATTGATAAATACTTTTTTTTTCAAAATTCAAATCGGATATCTTTTCCCGATTCACCAAGAAAAAGCCATGCATTCAAAAGAATTCTGCAAATCATCATGATATAACATGAAAAGTCAAGGAAGTTCCCAACTTTTTCAATATTTATTGATCATGCTTTTTAACAGGGCTAGACATTAAGGGTAGCTCGCTGGTCTAGGACTAGTGAGATCTCCAGTCTGACAAGTGGTTTAATACATCTGCTAACCTGTACGACTAGTCAAAATTTGATACAGTATTACCGATCTTGTTGAACAATATATAAGTAAGTGGAGTTTGCACATAGACTAGTAAAATTAGAAATTACAATCCAGACAAGTCTACTAGTGGTTCTTAAAAATTAATTTCTAGCCCTGTTGAAGTGCTGGTAAGTCTTTATTTTCAGTACTAGAAGTAGAACCCCTAGAAGTATCACCAATATTACATATTAATAGCATAATGATAATATTTATGGTGGTGACTTGAAGTGAAATTGCTCTACATTGAATCAACCACAAAGTGCTTGAACAGATTAGGCACTCCCTTATATACCTTCCCAGATTCATTGTCTTTCATAATTGTAAAATTTCTTTGTGTATCATGGTTGAATGAACATTAGTTTTCTTATTACATGAAAAACTTGTACAGATGAATTGCATTTAACCATAACATACAAAAATATCTTGCAATGTGTCAGTCTTGAATTGAAAAAAGTCCCACTGCAACCTTTTCCAGACAAGAATGCAGATTACAATATGTTGTTACATCATTAAGATACACAGGTTTACAAATGTCACTCATGTAGCAGTCACCTGTCAAATGCTTTTACTCTGGCAAGAAGTTTTTTGTTGTTCCTGCAGTTGATGAGGACTTGTGTGTTATTCTTTACTGACTGTGTCAGTACTGACAGGGGCCCCGTGTTAAACTCCTCCTGTTCTCGCTGTTGGAGCTCCTCCGGTGTCATCTCACTCTTGGGCTTCTGCAGTAATGCCCTAAACAAAGAAGTATTAGGTATGATTAGTTAAATACATTTAATTGGTTAGACTGTCCAAGTATTGAATTTGGCAGGTACTGGAGCACAGGCAAATTTGGTTATATAGTCAAATATGACCAAACGTATATATAGGACAAATACATGTACACGAGTCCTGGACGTGTTTGTGTCGTGCACACGATAAAAGGCAAGTTGGTGAAATAAAAAATTACTGTCTAGTAACACAAAATTCAATGATTTGTTTGCTTGCACCATCGCTATTTTCCCCTATGAACATTAATCCCTTTAGCTTATTAGTAACACACTAGCATGTCACTGCCTTTGCAATATGGTATCAATGTGTTTTGGAAAATTAGCATCCTGATGATGCAGATTTGAGCCACAGGTGTGCTTTGAAACAGCTTTTGGAAGATATTGGAATGATAACATGCAGTGATAGTTGTTCATGTACCTGTGTCTGTCTAATCATCAGAGTTAGGGGAAAAGAAGGATGCAAGTACCAAACTTGCAACAGTAAAATTCAATAAAAATCTTTGGTTTCTTCAACTCACCTGTTATTTCATTTTTTATAATTAGCCGGAGTTTTCTCTGGCCCTGACACCAGACTTACGACATTTTGACAGATATATGTCTGGTGTGGGGCCAGAGCGCTCTTCTATATGAAAATGTGGAATTCTCTGACACCGTATCGGAAGTTATGAGGCGAGGACAACAAAAATCTACTATGAGTCTATGACACAACACATACCTCAATAAATGGTTTTTTATTGATCCAAATCCGCTCTTATTAATCATCAACAGTGAATTTTGTAAATTATTGTATATTTTATAACAAATAAACTACTTGGCAAAATGTAAGATGAGTCAACTTTGTCATCAAGTATAAATAAAGACTATAATTATTATCATTATTAACAGCTGCTAAATTCCGTCAGTAGAGTCCTTAGTTTTCAATTGTTCCAAAATTTCCCACCTGAGCAAAAGGTATTTTTGTAGATCATGGGTATGTGTTGTGTCATATTAGATTTTTGTTGTCATCACCTCATAACTCTCCGATACGAAATTAAACGGACAGTACAGGGGTTGACACTAACTTTTAATAGGTGGTGGACCGCAGGTCCACCTGCTCTCTTGATCTGGTGGACCTGGTTAATTTCTGGTGGACCTGAATAATATTCTCAGATCTGGGGCGCTTTGCGCCCCGGTCGACGAGCGTAGCGAGGAGTGGGAGGTGGGTTCGAGAGGGGGTACCCCCCCTCCTGAATAAGAGGGGGGTATGGGGGTCCTCCCCCGAATTTTTTTAAAAGCTAGATGCAAAATCCTGGCATCTGAGGGTTTTAAACAAATAATGAAGGTTTTTTAATTTTCTGTAAAATACTTGTTTTTTNTCGTCCAAGAATGATAACGACAACTTTTAGCGGGTTAACAACACGAAAATACGATACATTTTTTAACCAGATGGGATTTTACGGCTCGCTGGCGAAGGAAATAAAGTCTTTATTAGTATATTTCTGAACAATATTCTCAAATATATATACACTAATCAAGTAATATGCGGTGGACCGGCGGTCTACCAGCTTTGAAGATTAAGTGGACAGTCCAAGATTTTGGTGGACCCAGTCCTCCGGTCTACCGTTAGTGTCGACCCCTGCAGTATGGTGTTGGGAGAAATCCATATTTTCATATAGTAGTGCGCTCTGGCCTGGCCCCACACCAGACATCTGTCTGTCAAAATGTCTGGTGTCAGGACCAGAGGAAACTGAGGCTACCTTTATAATATGTAGGAGATAAATAGAATCTTATTTGGTTGTGGTCCATGGACTGTGAAATCTCAACACCCGGGTGAGAGTTTGGCTGTCATGCACCCGGCAAAGCCTTGTGCATGCATATGCTGGACAGTCAAACTTATACTCAAGTGATTCTCCTGTCCATGATTGTCACACATCATGAGTATTACCTGTTACTCAATTATTCCATACTGTTGTTTTTATTTAAAAAAAATGTTAAAACTTCCCACCGGCGGGTATCCATTCTAAATTACAATGTAAAGTACCCCCACCCCCATAATGTATAGCTGTTTTGAGCTATATGACATCAACCTAATGAATATGGGAAAGCTATATGTTTCCAGAAGAAAAGAGATCATGTCTGAAGAATACATTTTAATAGCATGCATATCACATCATATAGGTTTATAACAGAAAAAATATTCATCTTTCCAACAGTTAAAATTTACGAATTTCTCTCAATCTATTTAATTGACAACGTCTTCATTAAACAAAAATAAACTAACATGTCTAATAAAGATGAAAAGCATAATCAAATGCTATATTGTGAGGGTATATGAAAGGAGAGAGTTCTTTTATGACATTGTTTTGATTGTGAAACCGGCGCCGGCGTACATTGTTATGATGCTAAAACATATTTTTCAAGACAGCTTTAAGGAAAATAACACTATGAATTCAGGCAATTTAGCAATATTTAAAACGACATATGAGTACAATCAACTTACGACATATTGATGATTTGATTTCAACGGATTGCAATATCAATTCAATATTTGACTGCAGATCTAGCGCGTCGGCTGTACGTTTATTGTCTATTGCGCATGTGTACATCAATAAACATCCGTTTCCTGTAAAGATTTTCATAACTACAGGCTCGGTTGTGCCAGACAGCTGTGTACAGCCTTGGAGATATATGGCCTTGACAGCGTGAATGCGTTCCCCGATCCTGATATTACAAATAACAAGTGCGTTATAACATTTGACATTTCTCTAAAATCAAGCCATTGAAACTCTTTCAATTATGTAATTATTATCTTATACTAACTTTAACGCACCGTGGTCAAAGGCTTATGTGGCTGTGACAAGTTATACTTGGATCTACCGGACTGTGATTAATGCTACTAGTTTCCTGTGAGGTTGGAAGAAAACGTGTCGATCAGCCACTGAGCCACAACATAGGAACCTGCACCGCATTAATAGTGAGTACTATGCACACAATTACTTAAATGTCATAATAAATGTAGATACCAGACTATTGCATATCAATTTCAGTACTTGAACGTGATTAAGCCAGCACCTGACCTCAGAGTCGTTCTGGCGATTACCGGTGAATTTCTGAATTTCGTTACCGGGACCTAACAATATTACTAAGGCTTTGGTCATTTTTGCCTCGTCATGCATGCTCATGACTACCGGTAATTTCCTTCACTTAACATTGATTGACCCGTTTCGGGGTCTTCAAACATGTATTTTGTACTTCTTCTTTTCTTACTTCAGAAAACCCAACAATGAAGACAACTTGGATCTGTCAGTTGGCTGCTTTTGCATTGATTGCCATTATATCTGTATCTTGTAATGGCGAGAAGAAGGAGAAACGGTTGCAGATTGGTGTGAAGAAGAGGGTTGATCCAGACAAGTGCAAAATAAAATCTAAGAAGGGAGATACTCTTAGTATGCACTACACTGTAAGTATAAAAGTCATTACCCTCCTCATTTTTTTTACTGGAAACCAATCAAACACAGATCATGGACAATTTCCTCTACCAACATGTAAAAAAAACCCCGCGTTACAGAGATGGCAACGAACCTTCAGTATTGGACCTTGTTTTTACTAATAAAGAAAACATGATTGGAGATATTTCATACAAAGCCAGTATAGGCTCCAGTGATCACCTTTCACTATCCTTTAGTTATTCATGTTTTAGTGATGAATCCCCACCCCCAATTCGGAAAAAAAAATTACAACAGAGGGAACTACAATGCTATCCGCCAAGAGTTAAACTCAGTTAACTGGGATGTTATGGACGACATGGACCTGGATGAAGTCTGGGAATTCTTTGCTGCAAACATATCTATAGTTGCTGAACACCATGTACCAGTGAGCAAAGGACGAACAGGCAGCATAACAGGTACCCAGGTACAAAAGAACCCTCTGGAATAAAGATGCAAGGAACAAAGCCACAAAGGCCATAATAAATCAACACTACCACTTTGAGAAACCGATGGCAAGCAAGATCAAATCTGACCCCAAACTATTTTGGAACTATGTCAAAAGAGCCAAAACCAAAGAGAAGGTAATGCAACTGGAAAAAACAAATGGAGAGCTAACCACAAATGACAAGGAAAAGGCAGAAACTTTAAATCTACACTTTGCAAGTGTATTCGTAGATGAAGGCACAATCAAAATCCCCGGTTTCCCGCCTCGAACATTTATATTCCGTAAATATGTGCAAAATCAAAAGTTACCTGCAAAATGGAAACATGCAATTGTGACTCCGATCTTCAAAAAAGGAAATAAAAAAAAATCCAGGTAACTACAGACCGATTAGACAAATGGCTGATGGAACTAAATCCAGACAAATGTAAAAACCTCAAAATATATACAGGCCAAGAGAAGAACGTCAGATATGAGATCACCCAGCAAGGGGAGAGACATCAAATAGATCTGGTGACAAGTGAAAGAGATCTCGGTGTAGTTATTGACAAAAATCTGAAATTTCGTGAGCAAGTAAACTGCAGTATCTAAAGCTAACAGAAACGTAGGTCTCATATTCAAAACTTTCAATTGTATTAATGAAGAAATGTTTCTCAACCTTTACAAATCTTTGGTACATCCATACCTTGAAATTAATGTTACTACATGGTCACCTATACTGAAAAAAGACAAAATCTCCTTAGAGAATGTTCAAAGAAGGGCAACCAAACTAGTTCCATCCCTAAAAGTTCTCTCGTACCCTGAACGTATTCGTCGACTACGGCTACCATCATTTGAATATAGAAGCCTAAGATCTGACATGGTAGAAATCTATAAGCTGATAAACACCACAGATATGACCAACCAACAAATCATCCCTGCCTTCGACAACCTCAATACGAGGGGAAACTCAAAAATGCTGAAAAAATTTGGTATAAGACCAACATTAGGGGACATGCTTTTAAAAATAGAATTGTAAATAATTGGAATCAACTCCCTACAGTTGTGGTAGATTCCCCAACCTTAAATGTTTTTAAATCTAGACTCAATAAGCATTGGGTCAAACATCCAATGAAGTTTTTACCATCATGCTACTAATATATAATATTAAGTTGTATACGCGTCCTCTGCGTAACCTGTAAATAAGTGAACAACTATGAAGAAGCGTCAACAGAAGCAATGAATTATGCTTGCGAAGACGTCGACTACCATGAACCATGAACAGGTGCTGGACACACGAACATGATGTGTATATACATCATATTCCAGGTCCAGGTCCCCTAGTAGGACCTTCAGATACCAAATTTACGTCCACATACTGGAAGAAGTAGAAGAGAACCCATACAAAGGAGTTGTTTTTACACAACTCCATGAAATGGGACGCTCATATCTGCACCATTACAAATAAAGCAAACTCCAAGCTCGGGTTCTTACAAAGAAATCTGCGACATTGTCCTTCGTCCCTAAAGTTAACAGCTTACAAGTCACTAATAAGGTCTGTGTTGGAATACGTACAGCTCAACAATGTGGGATCTGTACCAGCATAACAACATCCATTCTTTGGAAAAGATACATCATTGCACTGTCCAGCAGCATGACATCAATGCTGAATGCCCTGAAACTGCCATCACTCAGGGATCGCAGAAGGGACCATCAACTTGTCCTCTTCTTTAAAATTGTGAAAGGGCTAGTGGCTGTACCTGTAAACCAAGTCTTGTCTAAATCAAACAATCGGACTAGAGCAAAGAACAGGGAAAAAATTCGGCAATTTCAGTGTTATACTGACACATATTAGAACCCATTCTTTCCTCGTAGCATCACTGATTGGAACAACCTCCCAGAAGATCTGGTCAAAACAACTGACTTAAAAACCTTTAAAACTTTACTACCAGCAAATGAAATCCTAAGGGCACTCCTCCAACCCTGGAAATATACTTCCAGTACCATACAGATACAGACATTATATAATAGCATAATATAGTAATATATCCATCATATTAAGGTCAAGGTGTCCAAAAAATCAAAAGCATGTGGACAGCTATTGATTTCACCTGTGCAATCAATAGCTGTCCATGTGCTTTTGATTTTCAAGAGTTGCAGAGAATGTATTAAAGAGAGCATATGACATCTGGGATTTTGATGACAAGTTACATTAATTTTCAGTATATATACATTCTTTGACAACCAATCCACTCATTATAGAAATAAGTGATTCAATACCAATACATAACACTACATAATTGTACATATATGTACTTGACTACCTGGTAGTTCTACATATGAGATATGATCAGTTTGTGTGATTCATGATATTAATTGACTTTATGTTTCGTTGCAACATTGGAGATCACATATAGATTCACAGTAATTGCACAAGTTATTTAAAGAGTGTTATATAATGTACAAGGAAAGTGAAAGTGTGGATGCAAAGTAATGTTAAGGTGAATGCTGGTTGCTAGCATAGCCTGACTTGGGGAGGTGAGTTTGGAGCAAACGCTCATCAGGTCACACAAGAAAACAAATGAACATTCAATAAATAAATCAAACCCTTAACCAAGTCATAATATATATCATTATTGTTTAATTTTAGGGTACACTGAGTGATGGAACTGAGTTCGACAGCAGTATACCTCGTGGATCCCCCTTCACGTTTACACTTGGGGCTAATCAAGTCATCAAAGGCTGGGATCAGGGACTTATGGGGTATGTGAACAAACAGAAGAACTATTCATACATCCAAATTACACCGCTTTTGTATTGCAATATTACGTAAACTTGAGTATCGGGTGACAACACATGTAATTATTTTTGATGGCTAATAGTTTTGTACTATCCTGGAAGATTTTGTTGCACTAATTTTGGACAAACACTGAAGCTGACAATTCAGCTGAAGCATTGCTAACAAAGAATGTCATTCATTGCCCTTCAGAGGACAAAGCCCTATTATAAACAGGAATGAAATTACACTTTTTACTACATGAACATCAAAGTTTGACATACTTAGAACTCATTATAGTTATGTCTGAAATGATATTTACTGTAATGTGATACTGTATAACTGTATTACATTGTTTGTTTATTGTATAACATTGTTTGTTTGCCTGTATAACTGTACAACATGGTGTGTTTACTGTATAACTGTATTTCATTGTTTGTTTGTCTGTATAACATTGTTTGTTTGCCTGTATAACTGTACAACATTGTGTGTTTACTGTATAACTGTATTTCATTGTTTGTTTGTCTATATAAACTGTATTACATTGTTTGTTTGTCTGTATAACTACATTGTTTGTTTGTCTGTATAACTGTATTACATTGTTTGTTTGTCTGTATAACTGTAATACATTGTTTGTTTGTCTGTATAACATTGTTTGTTTGCCTGTATAACTGTATTACATTGCTTGTTTGTCTGTATAAACTGTATAACATTGTTTGTTTGCCTGTGTAACTGTATTACATTGTTTGTTTGTCTGTATAACTGTACAACATTGGCATTGTTAGTTTGCCTGTAAAACTGTATTTTGTTTGTCTGTATAACATTGTTTGTTTGTCTGTATAAATGTATAACATTGTTTGTTTGTCTGTATAACTGTATAGCATTGTTAGTTTGCCTGTAAAACTGTATTGCTTTGTTTGTTTACTGTATAACTGTATTACATTGTTTGTTTACTGTAAATCTGTATTACATTGTTTGTGTACTATATTACATTGTGTGTTTACTAGTACTGTATAACTGTATTTCATTGTTTGTTTGTCTGTATAACATTGTTTGTTTGTCTGTATAAATGTATAACATTGTTTGTTTGTCTGTATAACTGTATTACATTGTTAATTTGTCTGTATAACTGTATTGCATTGTTTGTTTGTCTGTATAACTATATTACATTGTTTGTTTGTCTGTAAAACTGTATAACATTGTTTGTTTGTCTGTATAACTGTATAGCATTGTTAGTTTGCCTGTATAACTGTATTGCTTTGTTTGTTTACTGTATAACTGTATTACATTGTTTGTTTACTGTATAACATTGTTTGTTTAACTGTATAACATTGTTTGTTTGTCTGTATAACTGTATTACATTGTTTGTTTGTCTGTATAACTGTATTACATTGTTTGTTTGTCTGTATAACTGTATTACATTGTTTGTTTACTGTAAATCTGTATTACATTGTTTGTGTACTATATTACATTGTGTGTTTACTAGTACTGTATAACTGTATTTCATTGTTTGTTTGTCTGTATAACTGTATAACATTGTTTGTTTGTCTGTATAACTGTATTACATTGTTTGTTTGTCTGTAAAACTGTATAACATTGTTTGTTTGTCTGTATAACTGTATAACATTGTTAGTTTGCCTGTATAACTGTATTGCTTTGTTTGCTTACTGTATAACTGTATTACATTGTTTGTTTACTGTATAACATTGTTTGTTTGTCTGTATAACTGTATAACATTGTTTGTTTGTCTGTATAACTGTATAACATTGTTTGTTTGTCTGTATAACTGTATAACATTGTTTGTTTGTCTGTATAACTGTATAACATTGTTTGTTTGTCTGTATAACTGTATAACATTGTTTGTTTGTCTGTATAACTGTATAACATTGTTTGTTTGTCTGTATAACTGTATAACATTGTTTGTTTGTCTGTATAACTGTATAACATTGTTTGTTTGTCTGTATAACTGTATATCATTGTTTGTTTGTCTGTATAACTGTATAACATTGTTTGTTTGTCTGTATAACTGTATTGCTTTGTTTGTTTATTGATAACTGTATTACATTGTTTGTTTATTGTATAACATTGTTTGTTTGTCTGTATTACTGTATAACATTGTTTGTTTGTCTGTATAACTGTATAACATTGTTTGTTTGTCTGTATAACTGTATAACATTGTTTGTTTGTCTGTATAACTGTATAACATTGTTTGTTTGTCTGTATAACTGTATAACATTGTTTGTTTGTCTGTATAACTGTATAACATTGTTTGTTTGTCTGTATAACTGTATAACATTGTTTGTTTGTCTGTATAACTGTATTGCTTTGTTTGTTTACTTGATAACTGTATTACATTGTTTGTTTATTGTATAACATTGTTTGTTTAATATCATGAATTTACCTGATAGGACGTGTGAAGGAGAGATGAGGAAACTTGCTATCCCTGCTAACCTGGGCATTGGTGAACGAGGAGCCCCACCCAAGATTCCTCGTAAGTCCAGTATAACATTGTTTGTTTGTCTGTATAACTGTATTACATTGTTTGTTTACTGTATAACATTGTTTGTTTGATATCATGAATTTACCTGATAGGATGTGTGAAGGAGAGATGAGGAAACTTGTTATCCCTGCTAACCTGGGCTATGGTGAACGTGGAGCCCCACCCAAGATTCCTCGTAAGTCCATGAACCTGGTAGCAATTGTATGGCTCATGTCAAGACATTTAATATCCATAGGCATTTTGTTTAGCTGTCAGAGGTCAAAAACAATGTCACTGTCACTATAAATAGGTTTTCCTACCAAAACGACATCATAACTGCACAAAATTAATCTCTTATCCATTGTCACAAAATTTCATATCTGTGTTCACAAACATCACCTCTCTCATCAGCTCATGTTTTGATCTTCCTTGGTAAAAAAAATAAGGTCACCAGTACTGAAAATAGAATTTTGCAGTTATCACTCTATATAATTGATTTCTATGGGATTGTTATGAAATCTGTAATGTTCACATACATCACTTCTTATATGACTTTACATTAAGATCATCTAGGGTCAAAAACCAGGTCAGCATTATTGTTGATATAATTCTTTACAATATCATTGTATTGACTACATTTTGATTTGATTGTCACAAATATAGTGTTATCATTACTTGTCAAACAGAACCTCTTGTTAAAGTTCCCATTTTGACATAATAAAAATTGTTGATGCGGTGGAATCAGGTACCCTTGTGATGTACTACTACTCTAACCACAAAATAGGCAACATTAAAAAGTCAACACGTTCTATAGGTATCCATTAGTCACATTCTCTTACACGGTTAGGTTGTTAACTCTGTATTTATTGTGTATCAAACAATATAGATTTTGGGATTATTGTCCGATGTAAGATATACAAGGATGTATCTGTAAATCAAGTATTGCAATAAAGGATATGTCTGCTCTTTCAAATCAGGTCTTGCAATAATTTTCTTCTACCCCAAGACATTCTGTATTTTCAAAATGTCAGATTGATATTAAATTCAAATTGTGATAGGATTTGTATACTCTCTTATGCCTTATTCTGATTTACTTTAAAAAAAAAAAATGCAGTCAGATCACAACTTGTCTCAGAAGAGCAGTATTTTTAATAGAATGTTGGTATACTCTTAGATTACAAAGCTTGACCTTGTTCACTTGACTTTTTAGTATGAAATAATGCCATTCTGGTTATATATGTACTGTCTGCTTTGTGATGTACCAGTATAGTAGGATAGTCTCTTGGTTTCTCCTAAATTACACTTGCAGAATACATAGCATTGATGTATTCACTGGTATGTCAAGATATAAAATTGCATTTATTTACTGGCAATCATGTAATAAAAATTATAAAATGAAATTGAAACCTATTTTAGTTCACATAATTTGTGGTTGTCATAATAATAATTCTTTTGTTTTCTGCAGCCAACAGTGAACTTGTGTTTGAAGTTGAGCTACTGAAAATCGACCGCAAAGACGAGCTGTGAAAAGTGAGACTATGATGTCTATGAAGTAATGTGTTGAAAGGGACTGTGAGAATTTTGAGATGTAACAGGGCGAACTAATTTGATGTGTAGGTTTGGTGTGTGTGGTTGTATTTGGTATCATTCTAAAATACAGTTTCATAACGGTATATGTTATGTATTTTAATCCTTAATAGTGTAAAAGACATGTATATCCGAAGTAAGTGGTACTTGATCATGACAGGTTGACATCAATATTACAGTAATGATTGACCTCAAATTTATATGGCCAGCTGACAAATATTAATGCAAATAAAAAATTTACACAAATATACAGCAGTATTGTTTCTGATAGCATGAATGTTTGAAACTACAGTGTGTAATCACATTCAAGGCTTTTATTGGTCACTTTGGACTTCCAGTGCTTTTTTGTTTGTCAAATTACAAGCATCTATGACTATACACAAAGACTCATTTCAGATGGCTTTATTTAGCAGTGGTGGCCACAGATGTGAAGCAAAGACTGGGTTGCATAAAAATGTCTACAGAGCAGGAATAAAACAGCCCTTGTGAAAATTGTTACGTTCTTGAAGAACAAGGTTTTGCAGTTTTAGATCTTTGAATTGTGAACAATTTACATAACAGTAAATCATAGTAGAAAAGTGCCTGGAAATTATTCTACTGCTTGGAAGTTCATGTACCTTGTTTTTCAATGGAAAATTCAGGATGTCTTTTCCATATCACAAATGGAATTTTTAGGACTGAGAATCCTCGAAATTCAAGGTTTTACACCATGCTGTCTACACTAATGGACTATGTCATGACAAAATCAAAGGTACACAGCCATTTTTGATTGGTTTCAGGCAAAACAATTTTACAAATGGCTAGGCTGATACCTGTTCTTCAAAGCTTTCAGGGGAGTGATCCCCGACTTCAAAGTCCATCAATTTGACCATTATGCTGGCGCACAATTCTTTCCATGTACATCAAAGTATCAAACAAATCTACTTGGATCTTCTAGAATGTGGCACTTAAAGAGCCTTCAGTTTCTCATGACATACTCCAGGGGTGCAGGGAACAACAGTGTAACCTCTGGAATTTTGAGGATCGGGTTTGGATTCCAATTTGATAAATGCTGTAATCCACATGATCAAATTCACTACCTACATTGTATGGTGAACCGAGGGTTGTAATGTATCTGTGCGTGTCCATCAAGTATGAGCTGCTTGATTTGGGAACATGTAACTATTAGTATGTGGTTGAAATGGAAATATGTGATCAATTACTGTATATCATTAGTCCATTTCAGTTTGATTTTACACATAAAATCATTACTGAATCATGTACACGTCGGTTAAAATCATGTCGGGTATGCGAGACTTGTGCAGATTGTTTTGTAGAATAATAAAAGAAATTTCTACTTTCCATTGTGTTAGTGTTACTATTTAGAAATCTCAATTATACATTCAAGTATCAACAATTAAATTACACCAAGTATCAACAATTAAATTACACCAAGTATCTACAGTTACATTACACCATTGACTTGTATAGTTTTCAGTAAAGCAATATCACTCAAGAGTACAAATGTACCTTTATGCCACCAGACATACTGTTTCAATGTTGCATTGTGCACGAACGACTGTAAATGGTTCAGCAATTGATTTAGTTTAGAAATTATAAAGTTATATGAAGCGAAATACGTAAAGAGTTATGCTTGAACAATCTTGATCAGTGATGGAATGACCCAAAAATGAGCGGGTCTTAAGTAATGAATACAACTAATTCATCAAATTTTATAAAAGTAGAGAGAACGAATGAAATTATTGAGTAAAATCCATCAGTCAAGCAATTAGGAAATTTACCTTGATATTTGATGGCTTGTCGTGAAAAAAGTGAACATATGTCAAAAATTCTTCCAATGCTCTTCATAAAAAGTTATTAGTCCCCCACTGGTTCCCAGTGTAATAGGTTTGCACTCCTTCCATCCGTCCTTCCTTCCGTCCAAGAAGTTTGTCTGGTACATATCTTCTATACTATTTCACTTGGAGTAACCAGATTTGGTGTACAAGGACATCTTAGGATGGCAGAGTGCAAGAATTAGGTCATTATGACCTATGACTTTACCTTTGACCTGAACTTTTGAAAAAAGTTTGTCTGGGGCATATCTTTTATAATATTTCACCTGGAGTGACCAGATTTGGTGTACAGTACAAGGACATTTTTGGATGATGGAATGTAGAGTGCAAAAATTAGGTCACTGACCTTTGACCTTCACTTTTGAAAATCTTTGTCCGGTGTATATCTTCTATACTTTTTCACCTGGAGTAACTAGATTTGGTGAACAAAGACATCTAGGGATGACGGAGCACAGAGTGCAATAATTCGGTCACTGTGACCTTTGACCTTCACTTTTGAAAATGTTTGTCCGATGTATATCTTCTGTACTTATTCACCTGGAGTAACTAGATTTGGTGTGCAAGGACAACGGAGTGCAAGAAGTCAGCCACTATTTCCTTACTGTGACCTTTGCTTCCTGATATGTGTACTGTTTGTTAGAAATCATTACCGGTGGGGGACTATGGATTGCCTTGCAATACTAGCTGCCTTGTTGTTAATCGTCACGCTCCATTTAAGCTCACAAGAACTGGTCTAGATGATCATATGGCTTTAGCAGTTGTCGTGACAAAACAGATTTTCAGCTGACAATACTTTAAAAATATTCGTTAGTACAGAAAAAGAATTTTCTGGTGCGAAAAAATATATCGGGAGTAGATAGAGTTTAACCAATATTCAAGAAACGCATGAAAGCAATGTGCCCAGTAAAAGATGTTTATTGAGATGCATCCATAGCTGTATATTGTATTTTATACAAAGAGGTAGTATGGGAAAATACTGTGACATACAATATTACATATATAGTATATTTGTAAAATATATTAATTATATTTCTTATACTTTTTCAAAGTGATTACTTCAAGCTCCAAGTTGACAATGTAGTGTTGAATGACACCCTACAAAGTAATAGACTTTGAGGTTCGAAACATTTCAGAGATGTCAGTAAATAACATCTGGTAAGAGGTGACAAAGAATCTTTTTATAGTTAAGACTGTGTATTACTTACAGGTTAGGTAGTATAAACTGCTACGTGCCAAATGACCTGGGCATGATAACGTCAAGGTATTGGGCTAAAGGCGTTTCACATTACAGAGGAACAGTATTCTATAACGTCAAGGTATCGGGTTAAAGGCGCTTCACATTACAGAGGAACAGTATTCTATAATGTCAAGACTTACCCTCCACTTATGGTAAAAAGCTAGTTCAAACTGCAACATGCAAATACAGATTTGTTTAAGTGGTAGTTTGAACAGATATATGTAGCTCAGAGCAATTAAAGAATTAATTACAGGTGGAGGGGGAAGGAATCACTGTTTTTTTTTACCTCTTCCATCCAGAATTATATTTCCTGGGCCCCACTATACATATTTTTACAGTCAGTTGAAACCTTATCATCCATATACATGTATTACTAATTGTAAGTACCTCCTGTGACCCTCCCTCATAAATTTATATCTAGAATAGGCCAAAGGTTAACATATGTCAATACAGATTTGATGATTGACAGTTTCACCTACTGTTTCTGTGATTCTTGCACCATTCAGTACAAAGCTGTTTGTATGTAATTAGAAAGAGTGGTTGTAATCTTACAAGGGCTTAACAGATTTTATGTAAAACTGTTTTTTAAAAGTAGGTTGAAGTATTGAAAATTGAATAACTTGTATGAAGATTGATATATATATCTGTTGAAGTACTACATAAGTACAGCTGAGACTATGGTTAACATGCTAGTTAACTGTTACAATGGATATTTCTCAAAAAACTTGTGTGCCTACAGGACAGCTTGATTGTAACTAAAACAAACTGATAGGCTTGAATCTACAACAGTACATGAAGCATTGATTATGAATGACAATACACAAGACACAAGAAGCTGACCAAATCCCTGTGTAGTCTTCATCATCTTGTACCTAAAATCACCATACCAGGTAATTGACCTAATAATGTACAACCAGTTATGGTCATTGCATCCTATGGAGGACAGATTCAATGTTACAACCCTTCTCTGTCAAAACTTCCAATGGAAGTTATACAATTATATATTTCTTAAATTGGCCAAGCCATGGCCAGGTTGTAGCCTTCTTAAATATAGGATAAGTACCCCAGCATAGGAAATCAATTCTGAAAGTAAACAAAATGCTGATTTGCATGTTAAAACTGAAAATGCCAAATAAGTTCTTTCAAAAATACAATTGCAAATAAAATAAGTTATTGAACAACATGATAAACTACGATTCTATATTTGGTATAAAAAGTTAACAGATTATTGCTACTGATGGAACTAAGAGGAAATATAAAACTCAATCCATTCCTGAACCAGTAAGTTTTACATAGAACGAGACTACACACTATGCTACTACCACCTCATATCTGGACAGTCATGTCTTCCCACACATATGTAAATTAGCACAGACATATCTATTGCAGAAAGGTTATCATTGGCTGTCATAGCAGAGCACTTATAGGGAACTACAGTATAAAAACTACATTTACACCTGAATAGAAACTATATGTACACCTGTATACAAAGTACACAGGATGTACACTACATGTACACCTGTATACAATGTACACAGGATATAAACTACATGTACACCTGAATACAACGTACACAGGATATAAACTACATGTACACCTGTATACATGGTACACAGGGTGTACACCTGTATATAAGGTACACCTGATATAAACTACATGTACCCCTGTATACAACGTACACAGAATATAAACTACATTCACACCTGTATACAGGGTACACAGGCTGTACACCTGTATATAAGGTACACAGGATATAAACTACATGCCCACCTGTATACAATGTACACCTGATATAACCTACATGTACCCCTGTATACAACGTACACAGAATATAAACTACATGTACACATGTATACAAGGTACACCTGATTTAAACTACATGTACACCTGTATACAACGTACACAGGATATAAACTACATTCACACCTGTATACAATGTACACCTGATATAAACTACATGTACACCTGTATACAACGTGGACAGGATATAAACTACATGTACACCTGTATACAAGGTACACCTGATATAAACTACATGTACGCCTGTATACAACGTACACAGGATATAAACTACATGTACACCTGTATACATGGTACACAGGATATAAACTACATTCACACCAGTATACATGGTACACAGGCTGTACACCTGTATATAAGGTACACAGGATATAAACTACATGTACACCTGTATACATGGTACCCAGGATGTACACCTGTATACAAAGTACACAGGATATAAACTACATTCACACCTGTATATAAGGTACACAGGATATAAACTACATGTACACCTGTATACAATGTACACCTGATATGAACTACATGTACACCTGTATATAAAGTACACAGGATATAAACTACACATACACCTGTATACAAGGTACAAAGAATATAAACTACATGTACACCTGTATACAATGTACACCTGATATAAACTACATGTACACAATGTACACAGGATATGAACTACATGTACACCTGTATATAAAGTACACAGGATATAAACTACACATACACCTGTATACATGGTACAAAGAATATAAACTACATGTACACCCGTATACAATGTACACAGGATTTAAACTACATTCACACCTGTATACATGGTACACAGGCTGTACACCTGTATATAAGGTACACAGTATATAAACTACATTTACACCCGTATACAATGTACACGGTATATAAACTACATGTACACCTGTATATAAGGTACACAGGATTCAAACTACATGTACACCTGTATACATAGTACACAGGATGTACACCTGTATATAAGGTACACAGGATATAAACTACATTCAGACCTGTATACAAGGTACACAGGATTTAAACTACATTCACACCTATATACAGGGTTCACAGGATGTACACCTGTATATAAGGTACACAGTATATAAACTACATTTACACCTGTATATAAGGTACACAGGATATAAACTACATTCACACCTGTATATAAGGTACACAGGATATAAAATACATTCACACCTGTATACAAGGTACACAGGATATAAACTACATGTACAACTGTATACATGGTACACAGGATGTACACCTGTATATAAGGTACACAGGATATAAACTACATTCACACCTGTATACCAGGTACACAGGATATAAACTACATTCACACCTGTATATAAGGTACACAGGATATAAACTACATTCACACCTGTATATAAGGTACACAGGATATAAACTACATGTAAACCTGTATACAAAGTACACAGGATATAAACTACATGTACACCTGTATACATAGTACACAGGATATAAACTACATGTAAACCTGTATACAAAGTACACAGGATATAAACTACATGTACACCTGTATACAAGGTACACAGGATATAAACTACATGTACACCTGTATACAGGGTTTATAGCAATTTAACCAGTTAATGTCATATATTTGCATATGAACTCAGGTAGCATGACCTTTTTAATGTTATGAAATGCAAACTTCTAGATTATATTCTGACATCACAATGAATACAACATATATGTAGCAAAGATGGAATACAAGTACTTTCCTGTCAGAGAGGATTACCAGTATTTACCTGTCACAGAGGGAATAAACACTGCCTATCTGTCAGAGAGAATTACATGTATCTTCCTGTCAGAGAGGTTTACCATCATCTACCTGTCAGGGAGATTTCCAGTATCTACCTGTCGGAGAGGATTACAGGTATCCACCTGTCAGAGGAGTACACGTATCCACCTGTCATAAAGGGTTACCAGCATCCATCTGTCGAGAGAGAATTACTGGTATCTACCTGTCAGAGGGAATTACCTGTATCTACCTGTCACAGAGAATTACCAGTTTCTACCTGTCACAGAGAATTACCAGTTTCTACCTGTCAGAGAGGATTACCAGTATCTACCTGTCAGAGGGAATTACCTGTATCTACCTGTCAGAGAGGATTACCAGTATCTACCTGTCACAGAAATTACAGGTATCTACCTGTCAGAGAGGATTACCAGTATCTACCTGTCAGAGAGAATTACCAGTATCTACCTATCAAGTTAATTACCAGTATCTACCTATCAGAGAGGATTACAGGTATCTACCTATCACAGAGAATTACAGGTATCTACCCGTCAGAGAGAATTACAGGTATCTACCTATCAGAGAGAATTACAGGTATCTACCTGTCAGAGAGGATTACAGGTATCTACCTGTCAGAGAGGATTACAGGTATCTACCCCTCAGAGAGAATTACAGGTATCTACCCCTCAGAGAGGATTACAGGTATCTACCTATCAGAGAGAATTACAGGTATCTACTTGTCAGAGAGATGTACAGGTATCTACCTGTCAGAGAGGATTACCAGTATCTGCCTGTCAGAAAGGATTATCAGAGCTTTACTTATATTGAAGCATTTATCTGTATCAATATGGATTTTTTGCTTGATTATTTATAGTTAAATATCTGACATAACCAAAATGTTCTTTTGATTATAAGTGGATTTTTTGAACTGTTACAATACTGCTACAAATTGTATTGGATATAATAGTAGATAGTATACAGTAATAATGTGGTGTGAGGGGTTAATATCCTGTATCACAGGGCGAGTAACACAAAATCTATAAACATCAAAATACAAGGTCATGCTTACTGGTGAGCATTAACATTCAGAAAACTTTCAAGAATGTTAAATGTGAGGTTTGTAGAAATGATAAATATGAAGACACATTTACACAAACTTGTAGAATTCATAGGCTATTTACAAAGTATGTTTGCTTAAATCAGACTAATTAGTTTGAATTCATGTATATACACTGTACTTAAGATAACAGCCTACAGTCAGGCAAATATACAGCATATACATACTGGCGAAAAACAAACCCTATACATTGTGTACATAAAACAAACCCTATACATTGTGTACATAACAGATTCCAACACCATGTTAGTTTGTTCACACAAGCCAATAATGCTTGTTAAAACTTTTCATTTTGATTCAGACCTGCTGACACACTCTACACTGCATTTAAATAGATAGAAAATACCAGACCTATCTGTATATAAAATTTGTTGTGCCATCAAGAGGGTAAAATGTTCCGACAGAAGTAATGGATTCGACCTACAATGTATGGATGCTGATATTAGGTATAACATAAAGCAAAACCATAATTCACATCACAAAAAATCTGATCAGGAAAAAACTATTCTTCTGTATGCCTGGATAATCTTATAAGAAAATACGTCTTCAGGACACCTCAATTATCATATGAGCAAAACATATCTTCAAGACACCTCTTCCAAGTAGCAAAATTTCTGAGTATTTTTTCCGGATTTTTTAATCACTATTTTTTAAAACAAAACTGTAGAAATGTGAGCTGACTGTATATAGAAAGCAACTGGTCTTGATTATAAAGGTCACACTGGTCATAGAACTGTCTGGGCTAACGATGTTTACACTGTGTCTAGAAACCAATTAACCTGAACTAGTGAGTTCACACTGTGCATTGAAACCAGAAAGTCTGGCCTAGTGAGGTTCCAACGTACAAAGAAACCAAACAGTCTAGACTAGTGAGGTTCAAAAGTACTTACAAACCAAACAGTCTAGACTAGTGAGGTTCAAAAGTACTTACAAACCTAACAGTCTAGACTAGTGAGGTTCGTATGTACTTACAAACCAAACAGTCTAGACTAGTGAGGTCCCGATGTACTTAAAAACCAAACAGTCTAGACTAGTGAGGTTCAAAAGTACTTACAAACCTAACAGTCTAGACTAGTGAGGTCCCAATGTACTTAAAAACCAAACAGTCTAGATTAGTGAGGTTCAAAAGTACTTACAAACCAAACAGTCTAGACGAGTGAGATCCAATGTACTTACAAACCAAACAGTCTAGACGAGTGAGATCCAATGTACTTACAAACCAAACAGTCTAGACTAGTGAGGTTCCAATGTACTTACAAACCAAACAGTCTAGACTAGTGAAATCCAATGTACTTACAAACCAACCAGTCTAGACTAGTGAGGTTCCAATGTACTTACAAACCAAACAGTCTAGACTAGCGAGGTTCCAATGTACTTACACACCAAACAGTCTAGACTAGTGAGGTTCCAATGTACTTAAACACCAAACAGTCTAGACTAGTGAGGTTCCAATGTACTTACAAACCAAACAGTCTAGACTAGTGAGGTTCCAATGTACTTACACACCAAACAGTCTAGACTAGTGAGGTTCCAATGCACTGAGAATCATCAATATTTAGTGAGTACCATGTTACCATCAATATTACATTAGGTCTCCAATATCTTATTTGAAAGTTTTATGTTACTAAATTCACAACTGACAAAATAATGAAAAATCAATATCTTGTACATACATGTAACAGAAATATTATGACAGTCTGGCTGACAGAAATCTTAATCATTTTGTTTATTTGCTTTACAGGGAAATTAAACATTTTCAGTGATGGAAAAGCAAGTTGCATGGGCAAATTGGACATATAGCAACATTCTGGTGATACATACAGCAAACTTCAAATAAAAACAAAAACCTCATCACCATACTAGTTAAATAACTTAGGAAATTATACTACAAAGTTTCTCTATAAAGTCAATATGTTGTTTTCAGTTACATTGAGGAAAAAAACATTTGCACAAAACACTTGGGACAATAAAAATGTACTAAAAACATGTAGCAACACTGTAGTTGTTTTTAGTATACATGTACTTACGTTGTAAATTTAAATATTAACAATGGGATAATCCTGCTTGATCGGACTAAAATCTTCAATTATACGTCTTTTCTTTAGAAATCTCAATTACTGCTAAATCAATGCGTACATCATTTGAAACACTACAAGTAGTCCATCACTGTGTGGTTTGTTGGGCAATTAAGGTGCGATTCAGTTAAGAAATCTACTATGATAGTATTGCTTCAGCTGCAAATTACAGATGGAAAAAAATACTGAAACACAAATTCAGTGACCTGACTACACAATTGTGTGAAAAAGTGCTGTTGTCAAAGAGATTCAAATCTGATTCACAGTTACATACTTCATAGTAAAGTTGAATTTAGAGATCAGACATTGAAATGAATTTAGATAAAAATGTCACAGATATAGGACAGTACCAAATCTAAGTGACTTTGGAACAAGTTCATACTACATGTCTTCTTGAACATACCAGCACATAACCAACTGGTCAGGTCCAATGGAAAAGAAGTTTGGTCGTGACCTAGACTCATTGTGTTCAAATTTTATCCATTTAAAGACTTGTGTATTTTTTATATCACTGATATGGTTGACAGTGTATTGTTCTAGACGAGAGACCCTATATACATGGAGCGACAACCACAGAGACAAGCTCCATAGAAGTGACGGCTGCATCAGTTTCAATATCTAGTAATATGACAAGTTCAAACTGTAATTTGTTGTGCATCAAGAAGTTCAATCCATCAAATTTATCTATTAAGGAAATTTGATCTGAATATATTATTATCACCTACCCAGTAATTCAGTGAGTATAGAACAAATTAAGATATTACTTACAATAGATGGAACCATAGAAAAGGAGAGAAAAGGCTCATTATAAAGGAGAATACCTTAAACAGAATAAAAATAAATTAAATTGAAAGCTGAGTATGTTTTCTTTAAATTATAAGAATGATTTCCATTGACTTAAATCACATCTGCACATCAGCTGTGTATAGCAGTTCGGTCTTTTTAGAAATGTGATATTGTTTTTATAACATAGAATGTTTGTTTCTGTGCAAATCAGAAGCATAAATAAACAATGAGAAATAAATATTATTACAATAAAAAGCACCCTGGAAAATATCTTCCATATGATGATATGTGTGCGTTTCCTATTTGTGACTTAAACATTCAATGACAAATTATGAGATATGAAAATGGTGTAATAATTGAAATATATTTATTTCAACTTCAGGACAACAGTTTGATGTCCAAAAAAAATGAAGTGATAGGTTTATAAAATTGTTCGGCAAATAAATGTGCATCGGTGTTATTATCACATTTACCGCACAAATACAAAGCACTCCAGCTGGTTGTAGTTATGTAGTATTGCTTAGACATCATTTACTTCACTGGGAGAAAAATTGAAAAGAAAACTAAACAAAGCATGTTTCTAATTATAAATCATTAACGTAGAAATTGACATATATCTTAAAGTTTACATTTACATCTTCTATAAAAATGCATTCAGCAAATGGAAATTCATGCTTCTTTCAAACTGTGGCATTTACGAGAGACAAAAGAAATATTGATGTAAATGAAATGAAAGTTTATGACAATTTATATTCTTCAAGAATCTGACTCGAGGCGTCTAAATTCGTTTCCTAAATGCCTGGTGGGTTTGACCATTTTTTGGCGAGCCTGAAGTCGCCCATCCTCCTTGTGATCAAACTCACAGTTATGGAGCTCAGGCAGTCTATGTAATGAACAGAAGATCAATTCTGAAATGAAAAAATTTCATGCTTTGTTAATGACACATTTTTTTCCCTCTTTCTTACAATGAAATGTTTTTATCATTCTTTTTATATACAATATTGATAAATAATGAATACACTATATTTTTGAACAAATATCGAATTCTTCCTTAAAACGTCTGTTTAACTTTTATCAAAATCCTGAACTACGGAACACGTTTGTTTGAAGCCACCATTTCAAACTTCATCCATGTAGTTATGTTTGATGTTTGATTTATCCTGCTTACTTAACTGAGTTGTAAAGCATGATAAACAATAATCACATATTAAACCTCTCTTTAACAATAGGCGAGCATTATAACACTGTAATAGTAGTATTACCACATCGACATCTTCCTATCTGTCTTTGCGCTAACTCTAGCTTTGCATTACACTGGAAGCAGCGCTTTCTATTTTTTTGTTTTCCTTTCTCTGGTGTAGATTCTGGAGTTGAATCGGGTTCTAAAGGTCTGCAAAGTACAGAATACATATAATTAACTAATGTTTCTGTGTCTTTATCATAAACAAATTTGCTATGCAATGAAGTATATCCTGTTCAACAGTACAGAAATAAAGCCATCAATTCAATTTATAAACATATTTTTGGATATACAATGTATGTACCCTGCCCTCTAGGTAAAGGTTGTACTCTGTAGCACTATCATTAGCTACTTTACCTTTTTACGCCTTTGGCCTCATCCGACCCACTTGCTTGCGCCGAGTCTGTATCACTACACTTTCCATTCTGGTTTGCATTGCTCTCCTCACTATTGGCAGAGTTATAGTTTTTATTGGTGGTAAGACAAGTTGTCTGTAATTCACTGCTAGTGTCTATACACACATTTTCTGTCACAGGTATATGTTTCATGTGTTCCTGTAACTTTTCTGAGAGATTCTCAGTGGTGAGTACAGAACTTGCTTTGGATGAGCTAGGTTGTGGAGTGTTGTTGGTGCTCTCCAGGTCATGTGATCGAGACATCAGCTGTCGCCCAGAATCTAGAATACAAAACAGTTTACTTGTACCTTAAGCACATACCATAAAACAGTTATAAAAAACATACTAAGGTCCTGTGATTTTTTTTTATTACTGTATTTACAAAATTTGTTTATAATGAATGTACCTTGACATTGGACACATATAAAATATGAGTATTTGACTTCATTATGAGCAAGAATTTGTATTACATGTAATTATTATTCACATTTAAAATTAATTAAAAAAAATATCCGAAATACTTCTGTTAGGGCTATCAATAGAATAAGGACTTTTTATGTTTGCAGTTATTCAAAAAGCTATGTTTAATATATACCTGCCCAGAGATACAAGATTAGTTAACTGTATGAGAAAATTTGGAGCTACCCTTTAGCTACTAGTCACTGACAAAAATATACTCTCCCGAAGTACTTTTGTAAGTAATCTTCAACGTGAAAAGAACTTGTGATATTTAATTTGTACACATATATATTCGAGTGAGAAACAGTAACAATTGGTATCTAGTACATGTAGTTATTTCTTATCTTGGAATTTTTATATATTTGAAGCTGATGATAAACCTTGTTTCCTAATCATGTGGTCTGGTGTACTTTTCAATGCATCTTGGGTTTTTTCTTGGTGTGCTGTGTAACAGAAATAAAAGAAATATATAGTTGTGAGATTCACCCAGCTAGAAGCAAACTACATGCAACATACAACATACATGAAGAAGAAGGCCATCACAGAAACAATGTTGAAATGTATGTATATATATACACTGACATGACAGATATATTGAAAGCCATTTATTTTATATTACCTGTAAATCTTTATAATTATATCCCTTTCAATTGTCTTTTCTGAATAAAATGTATATGTATATACACTACGGTACATACATACACAGCTTATAAATTCTAGCCATCAGAAACAGGGCATGACTTCGATGCATCAAATAAATCAATAATTTAAACATGCAGATGGATTTTCTGGCAAACATATTTGTGATGTGCATTTGTTATACTTTTTGTTATTATAGTACATCATTAAGCCTGGAGAAATTGCAAATATTATGTAACTGATTATATATTAAAGTTTATAAACACAACACAGAATGTTGTTCGCCTGTACTCACCCTTGTAGCATGTAGAGCAAAGTCCCAATGTACTGGGTGACCTACAAAATCCAAACAATAGGATAACATTTGTCACATGTAACTAAGAATGACTATATTTAGCTGTACCTGCATATTGTACATACAACAAATATGCCATAACATCATCAGTGTCAGTGCTGCAAAGTGTACATACAACATATATGCCATAACATCATCAGTGTCAGTGCTGCAAAGTGTACATACAACTTATATGCCATAACATCATCAGTGTCAGTGCTGCAAAGTGTACATACAATATATATGCCATAACATCATCAGTGTCAGTGCTGCAAAGTGTACATACACCATATATGCCATAACATCATCAGTGTCAGTGCTGCAAAGTGTACATACAATATATATGCCATAACATCATCAGTGTCAGTGCTGCATATTGTACATACAAAATATATGCCATAACATCATCAGTATCAGTGCTGCATATTGTACAAACAAAATATATGCCATAACATCATCAGTGTCAGTGCTGCATATTGTACATATATATACAACACATATGCCATAACATCATCAGTGTCAGTGCTGCATATCGTACATACAACAAATATGCCATAACATCATCAGTATCAGTGCTGCATATTTCATAAAAGGTGTCCTTTTCAAGCTAAATATTCCTTTTCAAATTAAACAGTGTCCTTTTGTTTTTAGGTTAAATGGAATTATCGGGAAAAAAAATGAGGTGCTTTCGAAATCCTATGCTTATTAAGCCACAATGTGGCTTTAGGGGTTATCCCTGGTAAAGGCCTAAATTAATCTAATCCAATCCAGTTTTAACACCTGACTGATTACTAGTTTTATTGCATAAATAACTTATAAATAACATCTGTGATAATATATATATTTATGTCCAATCTGCAAAATGTGATATATGTGTATTTGCCTTTTACCTGAATAAATATTAATATTAATTAATTATATATGCTTCAAAAGGACATGGGGACAGTGTAAGCGCAAACCCTCATCATTCATGAATTCAAACACAAAACTGAGATTTATCAGGGCACCTTCTTGGTTTGCCCCTTTCAAGTTTCAAAATCTTAAAAAATAAATGCATTATCTAAATAAATTCCTCACAATTGATCCGAGACTGAGTAAGATGCAGCATAGTAAGGAAAAAGATTAGTCATCCATCTTGGTATCTAAACACCTGAGAAAATAAAAATCCTGACCAATCCCGTACAAAGTCTCTAGTACTAATATTAATAACCGGTCTCCTCTGACGACGCAATACATAAAAAAATCTCTCGTCGTCAGAAAGCTACGTAATCAGGTCAGGGAAAACCACTACCTTGCGTATAATATGCAAACTCGACTATTATATGTGGTTCTGGGTTGTTTCGCCCCAAATTCTGTTCGCCCTAGGTTGTTTCGATTCGCGCTAGGTTGTTTCGCCCTAAAAATTTGTTTAGGGCAAAACACTGTTTGGTATTTTTATTTGTTTTAAGTCACAAATTAAGTGTTCTTAGTCTTACATATCATTAGAATTAGTTTTATTCAAAAAAGAAATGTGTTTGTGTTGTTTTAGGGGCTGGTCGGGGAAAAAATGTCATATTTGCTAAAATGGCATACACATGTTTAAAATACCTTCTTATGAAATATACCGAAACAAATTTTGCTGAAATTCACTCCCTAAGAGTGAAAATTATAATTATATTAAAAAAATCCTTAATCGTCACCCGACAGTCTAAAACTCTCCATTGACCCAGATCAGTGATGTTATTTTACCGCACGCGCGTCATCAACAAGGCCAAATGTAAACATTGTGGCGAAAGAAAAAGATGCATGCAAAAGTCATGACAGGCACGAGGTATCAATACCGTTATAGATAACAACAACATATAGGTAGGAATACTACACTTGCATCATACATGACCTTTGAAAACAATTATTTACGTATAGTATTGCTGTCTTGTCCGCTAGTTGAGTCCGACATGGCACATGACAGCGTCAGCGTGCTATTGTTGTTATCTTCACTGCCTCACTTTCGAACACAACCACGTGACATATATTAATAGATCTGCGCTAAATTTACGCGGGGCTTCCCCGAGATTTCAGTGGTCAAAACTGGACATCGCAAGCAGAACTCGACCATCATATTGCCGTGGTATAACTTTTGGAAGGCCAGAGAACGCATTTAGACCCATTTATTTTGGGTTTTTTTCCCCCGACCAGCCCCTTTAAGTACATTGTAAAGCAAAAAACGGAATACGTTATTTTCTTCACGTCGACACACATTATAACATATATTGAATTTAACTTTAGAAATAAATAAGAATAGTGAAATGAAACGAAAATGGTGTAATTTTAATTACAATGCGGGATATACAACAATAATAATTTTTCCATGTTAACACATTTAGTCTAGTGAACACATAATCGTAGCCGTGCGACAATGTTTTCTTTACTTGATTTCTGTGTTGTTTTTGGAGGAGATCTTTTTGAGAAGTTATGATAGTACCGACCAATACAAATTAATTTGCATATTTTAGAAGATATTTTTGAGTATTTGTTTAGGGCGAAACAACCTAGGGCAAACAGGATTTGGGGCAAAACAACCCGTTACCATTATATGCCAATAGGGGCAGGTCCAGTACACTCAGCCGATTGAGCTATATAGCTATAAAGACCTATATAGCTATATACACCTATACATTATAGCTGTATTGAGCTATATTTTCTCAGATTTCAATTTTCATTAAATTAAAGCAAAGTCGCATAAAACAATAAGGTTTATGGTAATGTTGACTACAAAAAGCATACAGTTAGATGATTATTTTCATTTTTCATAAATGTAAAATTTCCGATTTTTTTACATCATTATTTTTTAAAAAGAATCCTTATGTTTAATGTCTTTTGTTATCAACCTAATGATACAATCTTCTTTTAAAAGCGACTTTGTTTTGTTTTCCTTAAAAACGAAAATTACTCAAAAAATAGCTCAAAAGACCTATTTCAGATAGGTCAATAGAGCTATTATAGGTCTTTACAACTATATAGCTCAATCGGCAGAGTGTACTGGACCTGAGGGGTATGGATTTGTTATTAAAATAGCCAAAATCACTTTAATCTTAACTTTTCAAATTGTTTGTCCAAGTTGCATTTATACACTTATGAAACATAATACAAATGCAAAAATAAACTTTATTTGCATGTGGGAAAGCACCAAAAATAGATGCAATACTTCTGGTAAAGTCACATCAAGTTTTTAAGTAGCCAACGCTTTCAGTAAACATCTTTTAGCAAAATATTATTTACCTAGCCGTAAATTAATTCGAATTTTAATAAAATCTTGCAAAAGTTACTGTTAAAGCGATTTGGGTTATTTTTAGTAACAAATCCATACTCCAACTGGCGTATAATAGACAAGTTGGTGGTTTTCCCCAACCTGGTTATCGCAGCTACTCAGCTGTCTCATAATCAGTATTCATATTATCGAGAAGCACTACGTTTTCCCTCCGATTAAGGAAGTTATTTGGTTTTCATTCACAGTATTATTATGTGCATGTATAACCATTCTGTTCATCTTTCTTGCTGAATATGTATCTAGAGATATTGACGTTTGGGGGGAGGGGGGGGGGCTGTTTAGGAAGCAATCATGTCTATATTCATATGTATATCGCTCTCATGATCTAGTAATGACCCAAACATATTATTTCAGTGAATGTAGAAATGCGCGGAAGCACACATGATACATCTAGAAGTATACCTGAATAGCATACATAGATTAAACGGGATTACTCGATTGGATACGAAATAAAACATGAGCTGTGCGGACAAGTCAAGAATGACGAGATTAGGTTTCCACCCATTGTCAAATTTTCCTGTAGATACGGTTGTGTAAGATATGCTTACCCCCAAAAGCCACACGGACAGCGAGATGGTTCACTGCTCTTTGATTCCTCCATAATTTTGGGATCAGAAGAGGTGAAAATAGGAATTTATACGGGTATCGCCGTGGCGACTGGGTGACAATCGCCAGCTGGTTTTTATTTTGTGCCACTTCGAGGCTGACAGATAACTTCCGGGTCAAAGAGCATTACGAGTAGGAGTTATCTTTCCTGCAACAGAATCGAATCGCGTATGAGCCTTAGAGGTTAAAACTGTTAGGAATGGGAAACCAAATTTTCTGTAATCGTCATAGCAGAATTATTTTAGAGCGTCTAGACATAATATATTTGTTGCATTTAAAAAAAATTATTTGTGTATGAAAATATTAAGAAGTCACTAGTGTTTTTTTCCTCTGTTTGAAACCGCTACTTGTTAGAGGTCAAGGACTAGGCCTGTCACCCCTAAAACTGAACAGTCTAGACTAGTTTTAAAATATCAAGAGAATAGACTATAGAATTATATACAAGATTTACCCGTACAAATAGGCTGAGATCACATTAATAAATGTCGCCAAATATGTATTGATACTCATACTTTCATTATTGTTTAATAAGTTTGTTTGAACTGTGGTCTAAGCCCAGGTACTTGGATTATACGATTTGGACATGGTCCATCAGTGTACATCGTTTTTGTCGAATAGGGGCAATCTAGATTATATATAACGATGTAATTTTAAAGAAAGCGAGGCTATTATTAGGGAGCAGACAGCTAGAGGTCTTCAATGTTTGAAGGAGGCTCCACCTTTTCGTAATTAACCAGCAGAATTCGTTAACATTTTCACATACTGGCTATGCAACTATGTAGAGGTTACTTTATGGAAATCTAATTATAAGCATTCCAATACTTAAATGTACAGTCATTTTCTCTGCATGGAAAGAAAGGTCATCAGGGACTTTATTTAGACTGGAGATTTTTTTCGGGAAAAGGACACAAAAAATGCACTTTTGTCAATTTTTTGGTGTGTGGCATTATTCGGGACAATAACAACAAGCAAAAATATAAAAGAAGCATTGCCAATTAACCCTACAATTATTTTCTTTACCACAAACTTTATATTGGACTGGTATTTTATTGGAATTGTATGGATAAAAGTGACTAGCAACAAGTTATTTATAACAGGACACATCGTTTTATACAAAAAGAGTGAAAAATTGAACAAATTATACACAATGGCTTTATACTTTATTTATTTTACATTTTACAGTCACTTTGTTCCTGATGACTAGTTGTCTTTGAGAAAAAAAAATCGGTATATTTTGCAGAGGGATAAGCTTAACGCAAAGACTAAGGTGTTCAGAGTAATTTTACATGTTTTAGGATATATATGATGATTGGGGATGTAATTTTTACCGAAAGTCGATCTAAAGTTCTAAACCCCTAAAACATCCGTATGAAAATGAATGTGTGGGTGCACTGGGACCTGCGAATTTGTTACAGTTATATTTGGACCTAAACTAAGATGTTCAGAGTAATTTTACATGTGTAAGGGGGTTTAGAACTTTAGATCGACTTTCGGTAAAAATTACACGCCAATGATCATATATATCCCAAAACATGTAAAATTACTCTGAACACCTTAGTTTAGGTCCAAATATAACTGTAACAAATTCTCAGGTCCCTGTGCACCCACACATTCAGTTTCCTACGGATCTTGATATTTTACAAAAAACTAGCTATTTTTACAGAGTTTGTGCACTGCATTTGTAAAAATGATTTACTCGACATAGCGTAACTCGCTCGACAGCAAATATCGTAACTACCTCGAGCTAGTTGACTGGTGTAAGCACATGATACGTTCCATGCGCTTCATATGTATGACCTTGATGTCGTATAGTCTCATGTCATTTTCATCATGTGAGTCAATTTATGTTTTTGTATCGAAATCTTTATTTCTGAAGTACGTGTGATTACACATTTCCCAGTAAAATTTCGATATCGGGTATTGACAAATTTTGCCATCACGCACGTGCACTAATGTTGATCCGGTGTTACTATAATTTACACTACGATATTGAAATGCCTGATACGCAATACGGAAATGACGACACGAAAAAAACATGTTAGTTACGAAGGGTGGGAAATCCTTAATAAATAACTGATTTTTATGTAAATGTTGTCTCTGAAATTGGTACAGAGGAGATTTATGATAAAACTGTTTTAAACAAGATTCGAGTCGGAGCTTAGTTCCACCCTCCTTTCGTGGTTATACAGGCTATCTATTTTGATTTAAAAAGCACTGCCTATGTATAAAGAGGCGATTTTTTTTCCAAACCAATAATAGATGACCAAAAATGTTTAATCCCATATCCAAAAATTCCAAAATTCCAAAATATGTGTATCGAGGTATAGAGAGAAACAGAAATGTTTATAAATATACAACATTTATAAAGCGTCCTATAAGATTTGAAACTAGCGCTTTAAGACACATGAATAGTATATAGTATTTCTACAATGACAGTTATAGATCTGAATTGTAGATGAAGTAGATAAAAAAAGGCATGCAAATCAGCTTTATACATAAGGTAAAAAGACAATTACCTCAATATGCATATAAATGAATATGTAAAGGATGGTGTGTACATGGCGTCTGTGCAGAGCCTAAAATGCAGACGTGAAGAGGTGGGTCTTTTTATCCTTCTTGAAATTAGCTAGGGTTTTTGATTCCCTGATATCAGATGGTAAAAATGTTAAAGCTCTGTGTTTTGAAAATATCTTTAATCATATATTTAAGGACCTTTCTTTAACTTTTTACTGTAATATTAGAATGTGATATCTAAAAGCAAGCATATCAGAGTAAGTAACTGGGACAGTGAAAGTATGGTATTTATGGTCATCGTCGAGCGGAGCAAGGCAAATTTCCTCCTCCCCCCCCCCCCCCCCCCCCCCGTAATGTTTAAAGAACTTAATCCTCAAAGTCGAGTGGAGCGAGACGAAATCTATTACTGGGGTCCACTCGGTATCCAATTGAACTTCTTGGAGCTTAGTTGAAAAATTCATGCGGAGAGCATCAGAGTCAAGAAATGACAAAAATTGCATGGATATTACATGTCTAAATAGTTTAGCGCTGAAAGTAGAATTGTATATGATTTCGTGAACTGTCTTATATTGAAATAACATGTGACGGTAATATATATATATACATATATGCTGAAAGTCAGTAGCATACTGAGCTATCGAACACCTGTGTTACTACATGAATTATACAGTTATACGCTTATTATACATATGTAGCAACGGAGGCATAGTCATCAAAATTGATGGAACCTTTGTAAAAATAAGAAGAATAAGTCACCAAAAGAATGAATATGCTGTTGAAAAACTGCGTTTAAAGAATTACATATGAGTATTTTATTCTTTTTCTCTATTTACCATTATTATTAAGGTTTCATAATGGTATGCGATGGTTTGTGACAAAGTCTGACAAAATTGGACAAGATTGACCATCTTGTAGGACACCACTGCAATAGTCTTCTGGTAAATCTATAAGATCAGATACAAACTTTACTGTAACTCCTTCAGATTTATAATTGGAAACCCACGAAACCTTAAGGTGTTCCAGAAGGGTAAGCGTCTTCTGCTTTATCGGCAGCACTCGCCACAGTCGCCATGTAAACTTACACAACAGGTACTAGCGTCGTCTGTCAATACACCTATAATATATCGCAAATGTAACGGTAAACAAGCGAGTCGCAGGACTGGTTTCATTTGTCGAATGTATGCATTTGAATATACATGTATGCTAATAAACATCTGGCATACAGAATGACGTCAGTGTTTATTGTTTATCGTCCATCGACCGAATGGCGCCTAGTGATTAGAATTTCCCAAATACATGTATATCCAGATTAAATAGACAAAATATGACAACTGCCCTCAGAGTTAGAAATAATAACAACATACAGCCTGTTGTGAAATGAAGACATTGGCATCACGTGACAAATGTAAGCGCGACCAAAGGAATAGCCTAATTTAAATGATTAGATTATTTAGGTCTCTTTGTTTATCAATAGCGTATGGACACTGAGGTATTCACAAAAAAAGAATTTCGTTACATTTTGCTTGGTAGAATAGATATGATAAGCCCATGTTTGTATATAAAGGTGAAATATATAATTAGGGATTTGAAAAATGTTGGAAAAAATAATCAACCTAGGTCGCAAGTGGCATTCGTTAATTATTTTCCCAAACATTTTCTCTCCCTCGTTACATATTCTACCATAATACACGAACATACGTTTATTATTCTAAGATAGCTTTCTATTTTGGTCAGATTATGAGGTGGTAGTTCTAGCTGAGCACTTGTAATTGATAAGATATCAAATCATTGCTAAATCATTGTTAGACATATAACGTTAACATATTTAAAGAGTAAAGAATATTTGTATAGTTAGTGATTCGTTTTGGGTCGTCATCCGATTTGGGTCCTACCTCCTAACAGGCGGTATCATTGAATGAAGTACATCAGATATTACTGTTAAAAGTCTAAATTCAATACCAACTGTTTACAGTTATAGAAACTTCTATGGACATTATCTATACCATTAATGCAGCTGATACACTCATGTACCAACGCCATTCTCTAACGATCATTTTTCTGTGTATACTTATATGTCTTATTGAAATTTTAAGCAAATGAGTTACAAGAAAATCGTGTATAAACATGACAAAGTTTATTTAAAAGTAAGAATGTTCCTATAATTCATTACAATACGCACAGACAACAAGCCGTGAGCAAGGAGTGTCATTAGATTGAAGACGTGACAACGGAATATGATAAAGGTTTCCTTGAATGATGATACTATTCTTCCACATAAAAAAATGGAAAATTGTAAAGTCTGTAATGGATTTTTCTAAAGAATCCTTTTTTTTCTGCTCTAAAATTAATCTCAAAATTTACGTAATCTTAATGGTTACGTTACTAATATTTCTTCATTTTTACCTGGCATTGAAGAACCATATTCAGCACTATCCTTACGCCTTACTCCACGATTATTAGGATAGATTTCGACCTCTCATGATTGACTTAATTCGTAATGTAAAAAAAAACTATATATTTTAAAGAATATC